ATATACGAGGTCTCGGATCCCCAGGGGTAGGTGTTCTCGCCGTCCGGGTTGCCGTGGTCCGGGCCGCGCTCCGCGTAGTCCTCGTAGGTCGTCTCGCCGTACCGGTTGCCATGGTCCGGGCCGTGCCCTGCAAAGCTCTCGTAGAAGACCTCGCTGTCAATGTTGCCGTCGTCCGGGCCGTGCTTCACGAGGTCCTGGTGGGTGGTCTCGCCCTCCGGGTCGCCGTCGTCCGGGCGGTGCTGCACGAGGTCCTTGTAGTTGATCTCGCCGCCCGGGTAGCCGTGGTCCGTGCCGTGCCCGGCGAAGTCCTCGTAGGTGGTGCCGCCGCGGCCGGCACCCAAAGAGCCAGCCAGGAAGACGACGTCGGCCTCGTTCACCGTCTTCGGTGCTGCGTCGGGAACCGAAGCCTTGCCCTTCATCGGGCACACGTCGTCTCGGTGCCAATGGCCCTTTCTCTTGCATACGCTGCAATAGCTCCTGGCCTTGGCAAGGCGGAGCCTTTCCTCGGCCCGTTTCTTGACCTCCGCCGGGTCGGTTCCACGACCTTGGGTGGCAGCACGGTATTTGTCTTTTGCGTTTTGGTAGGCCACGTAAGCCGTGTGGTGGTCATAGGCTATGTCCTCCGGCACAAGGTCCACATCGGATTCCTGGTCGCCAAGGGGCGCGGCGTCGGATTCTTCATCCTCCTCGCCAGCCTGGTCCGTCACGTGCGCGGTCTGCTTCCAGCGTCCGGTGCTGCTTCGCCAGGCGTGCTTGCCCTCGCCGCTGCGCTCGCTCCTCTTAAGGGCCCGCTCCTGAAGAAGCGCGGCCTGTTGAAGCCGCCGAAGGCACCACTGGTTCCCGACACTAGACAGGAGGGCCAGCTCCTCGCTCTCGGACAGCCGAAGCTTATCCAAGAACAGCCACGCCTTCACCGTCTCCGGGAGCTCGCACTGAACCTCCTGCAAACGAAGCAGCAGCCTCTCGAACTCCACTATGTAGTCGCGGATGCTCTGCTCGGCCCGGCGCCGAAAGCGCCTGAAAAGGTCGCCCATCACCTGGGAAATCTTGTGCAGCTCCACCTCAGCAAAGCGAGTCTGCACCCATTCTAGGAAATAGGAGACCCCCTCAGGGGACGCAAGTGCCTCCATCTCGAGCTCCTCAGCGTACAGCCAGGCCTTGCCGGTGAGGGCATTGTAAAGGGCTAGCGCCCTCTGTTCGGGAGGAAGCCGGGTGCAGCGAAGCCACACCTGAACTTTACGGACGTAACTCCTGGCGCTCTTGCCAACCTCTGCCTCGTCAAGGCCGCTGCCTTCGAACTCGGGGACCGCGAGCTTCTCCGAGGGCCGTTCCCTGCCGTTGCCGCCGGGGTACTGGTTCCAAGTCTCATCGCGGTCCTGCGTGTAGCTCCCGGTACCCGTCCAGCTTTGCCGCCTGGACGAAAAGTCTGCCTGAGACCACGGTCGAGTCATGCCGAAGCCACCGATCATCGGGAGGTTCGCCGTGTGGAAGCCACGTAGCTGCCTTGTGTTCATGATCCCGTCGGCCGGCACAGCCGGGCTGGCCTCCCAGCCGTTCCAGCCATGTTCCTGTGACCGGCCCGCGTCTTGGGACCATGCCTCTTGAGACCAGCTGCCTTGAGACCAGCAGCCACGACGATCTTGGTTCCAACCCTGCCGCCACCAGTCATCATCCCACTGGCTGCGGTCACCGTCGGGGTCCTTGTCGGGGCCGCGCCTCGCCGCTGCATCGGCCCAAGGGTCCTCAGCAGCATGATCCTCTGTGGAAGGGCCCGGTCCTTGTCCTGGTGTCTCCGCCGGGCCGTCGACAACGTCATTGGGCTCATTCTTCTTCACCGCGGCCTCTCGCCGCTCGCTGCCGCCACTCGCGGCCGTTTTGGGCTGCCACGCCCGAGAAGCGCCAACCATGGCGCGGAAAGGAGCGTCGCCACGGCTCCGCTGCCAATTTGACAGCACAGCTGTGGGAAACAGTAGCGGCAACACAGTCGCCCTCACATTTTGCACTGTGCACTTCTAAGATCCTTGTGCCTGAACGTCCAAGGCAGATGCACACACGTTCTAGAAAGCATGACGTGTGGCACATCGATACCAGGGTTCAGGGAAGCAGGGTGTTAGGGCATGAGGGGTTTTTGGTTCGGGGTATAAGGGTTCAGGGTCTTTTGGTTCAGGTTTAGTGTTGCGGCTTCTACACGTGCATGAAGCATGAGAAGCTGCGAATAGTTTTCACGACAGAAGCACATACCTACGATGCTCGTGCGTGTGTCCCTATGTGTGACCTACGTCTCATGTGGATGTGTTCATTGACGTGCATGCTGTCTGTTGCCAATTGCTGTTGACCACTGGGACGCGAAGCACTGTTTCGGGACATACTGTACAACGTGAGGTTTGTTTGCATGTTTGCCACGGCCGTAGCCACACAGGACATGCGAAGGGAGGCGCCTGCTGAGCCGTTCGGCTGGTGTCTTCTGGCAGCTCGGCGACCAAGACTTCTGCACAAAGCGGATGCTCTGCATACCTTCATCGAACTTGCAATTGTTTGGGCATGCCTCACTCTGGCATGCAGCTGGAACAGCACTTGTCGCAATCACGCAGGATGGCTAGCGAATGCAGCGACCAGAGCCGAGGAACGCAGGGTAGCACCGTCGCAAAACGGCGTCCTCCTCCTCCGTCCAGCCCTGTCCCTTCATCACATCGGCACGCCTGGGCTCAGCGGCCCACGGTTGGACATGAACCCACATTTCTTCGTTTCTTGGTGCGGCACTGCTTCTTCATTGCTGTCAGCGTATCTCCAGCATCCATCCTTCCAAAGGCGTCCGCGACCCAGGCTTGAGTGCATGAGTGGCTTCGCCACATTTCTCTTCAAGAGTCCTGTCCAAGATTCGTCGATACGCTTCTTGTTCGTAATTCGTCAATATAGCACCGAAGTCAACAGCGCAGGACCTGAAGTTCAGGGACAGCAGCTCCGTTCGGTGTAATTTCATGATTCCTAACTCTTCGGTCTGCGGGGCCAAGAGAGTTCTAAGCTCCGGGCTCCACTTGATCCTTCTGGCTTTCCTGTATTTTGGGGAAGAACCTGAAGTTGTCGCGCACGCCCTGTCCACGGCTATCTGTCAATCTAGCCGGCCTGGACATCGAATGACGATATTCTAGACGACTCAGCTCACGGCAGTTCCGCAAAGGCGCACTTGTTGGTTTCGGCACACTTGAAAAACTCGCGCAGGATGAAGCGGAGCAAGCCTGGCGGATCGGAGAGCAAGTTTGGCGTTTGGCGACGCTGGCGTTGTTTGTCTCAACATCGCTCGGCAGGAGACCCAGAAGCTCTTTGTACTTCTCTGCATTCTTCGTGCTGATCAGCAGAGGGTCCGTCATGATTCTCTGAATGCCTTCTGCAGCAACTATGGCATGGCTTCGAATCAGCCAGATCATTAAGCATCCAGAGTTAGCTTCTCAGGCATGGCTGGTTTGCCAAGGCAGCCACGCTGGAAGTAGGAGACCTCGAAAAACAAGACGATGTTCGTGGGCTGTGCCTCGCTTCGCAGCAGGTGTCTCGAACTCATACGAGCACTGCGCACGGAAACCGCCCATTGTTTCTCCATGGTACATCCATGATGCTGTGGATCAGCTTGACGAGCATGGACTGGAGTGTCGGTGTATGTCGCTTGTACCTCCAAGGCAATCTCAGCCCTGGCGCGAGTGCATGGAAACGTTTGGACTCCGGTTCACTTCTCCAACAGGTGGAAGAGATTTTGCACCACTCTGGAGTCAGCGATGCCTCGGCAGAAGAGGCTTCGTGGAAGAAGAGGTAAAGCGCAAACGCCAATCAAAATTTGCGAGCAGCCTGTGATCTCCTTCTCCACCGATGTGCTGGAACGCGTCATCTGCACTCCACGAAGCCGCTCAACCTCAACAGGGCATGGGTTCAATGACGGCGACAGTACCTACCCACACGCTGCAGAAACATCAAGGCCGGCTCCTGGAACTCAGCCTCTTCACCCCTGCAGATCTCTCCGTTCTGGCCAGGAAGGCTCAACTGCTCGCCTGGCCTGTCGCCACCTCGTGTCTTCATCATCATTGTCAGATTGTGCCAGACCTGTGCTCGGGCCGACGGGCAAGAGAGCTTCCTGCGGCATGGAATCCCATGCAGGCGCCTCCACTGAGTAGGAGAGAATGCGAGGATCATGCACCGCGGAGTTGAAGTTCTTCATGATCCATGCCAGGTTTCCCAAGACATCTTCCTGTTGCGGAAAGTGGAGAATGAAATCGAAGTCTGGCGGTCAACTGCCATCACGTCAAGCCCGTCCTTGACGGCGTGAGTCACCAAAAGGTCTCCACAGTCTCGGGTGTCAGAGCCCTCGCACCTTGAGAAAAGCCCTAGCCAATGCCGGAGCCGTCTTTGTGCCAACAGAACATGCAGCAATTACTGGGCCGAGAGCCCGGTCATGACCTTGATCGTCTGGATTTGCGCTGCCAGCACCCGGAGAGTGATGACCAGGAAGGAAGAGTGAATTTGGGCGTTCTGTCAGCGAACCGGCTCGAACTTGCCGCACCCGAACATGTTTTGCATGGGCCTTTCCGAAGTCACGAAGCCGAGCTGTAGTAAACTGGATCATATCCAGATCCTGGCACATATCTTCTCGCCAACACGAAACTGAAGCTGGGGCTAGGTGTGCTTTGTAAGCAGCCGCATGAGTAAGGACACCGCAATCGCCCCCTGGATGACTGCAATGTCCATGTCAGGGGGCCTCGAGCAGGAATACCACCCACAGCCTCGAAACAAGAGAAACAATCCCCCTTCTTGGCACCAAGCGTTGAGCTCGTCTTCTCCGCTTCCTTAACCTGTTACCCAAGCGCAGTAAGAGCTACAGCGTAGCCGAGCGCGTCGAGGCTAAACGGCAATTTGGCAATCTCAGCTCCAAAACATTGGATGATCCGTCCTGTATTGCGTGCTGGACACGGTGGAACTCCAGGAACCAGCAAACGAAGTTCAGCAGGTGTGGCCTGTATGGCTGGTCAGCTGCAGTAGCCATGTCGAGCAAAGCTTCCAACTCAGGACGGCACATGTCGAATTCTGACCCTTCTGTTTGTTGGCTTTGAGGTTCTTGGCCAGCAGTCCATCATGTGATCAAGTGGCAGATGCACAGAGAAACACGGCTGCTGTTACTGGGCAGCATGCTGACGTTGCAGCTGCTCCGCATGATGCTCACGAGTGAACTAAAGGAAGTCGCGCAAAGCTTCTCGAAGAAGGTACGATAACCTGGCACGCAGTACTGGATTCATGCTTTGGCAAGTTCCTCGGATCAGCCCACGTGATCTGCAGAATTTGGCAACCTTGGAGGATCTTGAGCGGGTGGTACATGCGGTCGTCTAGAACTCCCCGCCTGGATTCACCCGGCTCGTGCGACACACTCCAGTCCCAGCGATAGGGGATGGGATCGGCGGGAGCAGACGCCGCTTGGATGCAGGCACATGTGGATTGACCTGGTTGTACTCCCGAACAGACCTCGGCGTGCATGGCAGTTTCCACAACTTGCCAGCAGAAGCATCGAGAGCAGAAGCGCAGACTGCACACGGTCGATGCGGAGGATTCTCTTTCGCGCGACATGCTCAAAGCTGTTGTAGATGTCCAGCGGCAACAAAGCAATGTCGGTGTCGGAGGCACGGTTGTCAAAGTTGTCGATGCTGCGCCTCTCGCTCCAAACCTTCTGGATGCGCGAGTATGTTCTTGCAAACACGAGGCCTTTGGCAAAGATATGCGTCCGAGTTGTCAAACAACATCGCATCTGGGCAGAAACTGTCGAATGGCTTTTTTGTAGTGTCTGGTCAGGCACAAACAGTGAGCGTCGAAGCTGCGCGAAAACATCTGTTATAAAGGCGCTCACAGTGAAGCGCCGACAGCACTTGGCTGCTGAAACCGAAAGCTCAAGGGAAGCCGTGGAGCTGCGCGGGAACACTTGGGGCCTATGGCACACATCGCGTGGAAGAGCTGAGATCCTGGCCCTTCAGAAAGATCCACGAAAAACAGACTGTGGAACATGTTGGTCTTCTTCCCGCTCGTTTCAGGATTGCGGAACTCTTTCTTTAGAAGCCTGGGAGGACAGCCGCGCTTCCAGTTCGTCATCTGGGCAGCTGCAATGTCTGGGAATCCCGCGCGCCGCTCTTCTGCATGATGCCGTTGTGCTGCACGGACGACGACAACTTGGCGGACCGGGACAGCCCCATTTTCTCCAGCTGCACAGAGTACCAGGAAACAGACGGCAAGCAAAATCTTGCATGCCACGCAACCAGCATGGAGCCGTCACGAGACATTGTCGCCATTGACCTGAGCTGAGTCCAGTCCCTGCTTGCCACGAAACCTCTTCCCGGAAAGCAACAAAAAGTGCGATCCGTGTGAGGCAGGAGCGTTCCAAAGCGGCTGTGCCTGGAAGACCTCGGAAGCGCGCTACAGGTTCTTGGTGCTTCGGTTGCGAAGCAATAGGCACGCGGCGGCGGCCCCATGAGCTGCCAGGGAAACGTGAGTTCATGTGCAACCGTGCTCGAAAACGTGTCTCTCACGGCCCAAGCCACCTTCTGGTCTGCCTTGTCCCGAGCCAAGAGGTCGGCCAAGTCGCTTTTTGGTCTCAGGGCGCCATGTTAAGCTGAGCAAGACTCTGCGGATTGCTGAGAGCCCTGCTTGCTTCGGTCCTTGTTGCTTGTCAGCAACTCCTGCAGTTTGAAATGTCATGGGATAATATGGGATACGTCAGGGAAAAAAGGTCACTTCTGCCTCGGCGGGACGTACCGACACGTTTTCATTACAGTCGGCTCCGCTCTGCATGGATTGCTATTCGAAAGGTAGTGCTGACCGGAAAATGGTCAGAAGGATACCGGCCACTTGCCATGGAATCGGTGATTACCTTGCTTCGTAGAGGTTGTAATCTTGTGCAGCCTGTATTTTCTGGTACTCCATCCAGGAAGAGAATCCAATCAATGTGGCGGCTGTCATAGCCCTCGCCCTGTGACAAATCAACCGTGCCGTCCCCTCGATCCTCGGCAAACGATATGCCCTGCCACTTGTGGATGGTGCTCTGCACGCCACCGGTATCCACCACACCGTCGCATCGGAACGCATCTTTCAGAGGGCGAGCTGCTGGAGTGGATGGGCCAAGATTCCCCATCAGAACAGCGTATGGCTCACTGGACTTCGGTGAGTTAAAATCACCACACAGAATCTGGGCACAAGCAGGCATTCTCTGCGAAAAGCGCGCGATGGATTCAGAAATCATACGGGCTGACTCCAGACGGGCAGTGGAACCTTGATGATCAAAGTGAGTGTTCAAGATTCGTATCAGTCCACCAGACCCCAGGATGTCGAGCAACACAGCCTCGCAGGTCCGCGGGAACCGGGCGTCCCAACTTGGGATGCCATCAGGGGCACCTGGAGATGACAACCAGAAGACCGAGTAGTCCAGAATCTTGGCACGACCTGTATCAATGATAAAACCAGCTGACTCGTCGGGCTCGTTTGGTAACCGCGATGTGGCCTTCCACTCGTATTTGCCATCCAGATGTGAGCAAATGTCGCGCAGCATTGTGACCGTCGCTTCTTGCACACATACTACAGCAGGTCTGTATTTCGCAATTAGACTTGCGACTCCTTGGCGCCTTTCCGGCCAAGCATTAAGAGAGTCTTCCTCCTTTACCTTCTCAGTTCGCAGATTGAAGCTCCAAACTTCGATCTCACTGGAGGCTTCCCCCTTCGTGGTGCAAGTCCTCAGAGTTTTCAACTGCGAAAACCTGGACCGGCGGAGCGAAGCCAAGGCAAGCATTGGGCCCCCGCCCCCGAGGCCAGTGAGCCACGAGGTGAGTCTGGAATTGTTCGACTTAGAGGGGCACGGCGGAGGCGTGCGTGCACACCCGGCTTGATTGGCATCCGAGCTGCTGATGACAAGACCGCCTTTCAAGCAAGCCCCCGACAGACGACACGAAACCCCGTGGCCAGGCTTGAGCATAGTCAGCTGACGCTCTTAGCCTGTTCGTCATGTTGGCTGTGAGATTTGTCGCTTCTAGCAGACCATTGGGGTGCCTTCAACCTCACGGGAGGGGGCTAGCAAACTGGAGTCAGCAAACTGAACGTGTGGAAGCCAAGTCGCATCTGGATCGAAGTGGGTGCATACATGATAAAGGATGTCGGCAAGCGCCCAAACCTGCCAAAGGAAGAAGCCGAAATGTCAGAGCCCACAACAAAAGGCGCATGAGGCCCTGGCCTGCTGAGTGTCTTCTTGCTGCTGTTGGACAAGTTCATTGCCGAGGATCATCAAGAAGGTCAGCACGCCTGAGACTCCACCGAACACTCTAGCTCCTTTGCACACGCAGCTGCCGCATCCAGCCTTCTTCGAAAAAGTTGCGAATGAACGTCATCCTGAGAGCAAGGCTCAAACAGATGGTGGCTCAGACTCGCTGGCTGGGCCAGCCGGAATTGGGGCAGGCTGCAAAGCTGAAAGCTATGAGGCTCGAGGTTGAGGTGGCTGCAAGCTCTGCCATGCAGAACGGGCTGCGAAATCAGCGCTTTTGGGACACAAATTTGGAGCACACAATGAATGATTGGAGTATTATTGTTGGCATCGCGGATGAAGCTCCATCCTGGATGCGACATCGCATGCAACCCTCTGCCTCCACCTCTTATTTTGCATACGACAAGGATGGCTGAAGGGGCATGTTTACCTTGTTTGGCTTGTCTTGGCCGTCGCCCCATAGAAACCCGTTAGTATCGAGGACAGTCCCAAAAGCAACGATCAGCCAGAGTACGATTCCCAGCGCCCTTGGCGTCTGCGACGAAACAAACTGTGAGCTTTGCCTTGAGCCTTCTCCTCTGGCTGCACTTCGCGCAACTGCGCTGCTTCAATGAACAGCTACTGATGCTGTTCCATCCTTGCATGTCCGTCATGAGATGTCATGAGAGGACCCTCTCCCTCTCTGAACGCAGATCTCTTCCTTCTTAGCGTAGCCTCACGCCGTGCACGACCGAACAACTGAGCGTACGCCGTTCTGGTTTCGCACTGGCACAACATGTCACCGGCAGCTTTCTGCACAGCAGATTTCAGCAAGCACGCACTACGCACGTGCATGCACACAGAGAGGCCCACAGAGCGACTAGAGTTCTCTGCGCAGAACGGAAGGAAGCTCTTTCAGAAAGCCGCGGCTGTCTTTGATGGCTTGGTAAGGAGCTGGCTGCATCCTTCCTCTGAGGGGCGTGTAGCCGGTGTCCCCCGGACCTGGATCCGGGACCTGTCAGGTTGAACATGTGCTCTGGGGGGATGGGGCCGCCATGTCTAAAGGCCACGGCAGACACCAGGTTTCGCAGCAGGAACAGGACATCCTGTCCCACCAAGGTTTTCCTGGTGCCTCTTCCGAGGACACGACACCAACAAGCGTGCGCTAAGCGGCTCCTTGAAGAGGTGCGAGCTTTCCTTGCGACACAAGAGCTCGTCAAAGCGCAGACGAAGAAGCAGCCATGCCAGCAGAAGACAGATTTTGTCGGTGGGTGGGTCCAGGCGGCCTCTCCATCTAGAGCTCCTACGAGCAGTCGAACGATCATGCTGAAGATGGTCGGGTTCGTGAACGACTCCTTGTAGTCCTCGCTACAGGGTTTGAGACATTCCATGCAAGACAACCACACCAAACAAACATGAGCCTGCAAATGGGAAAGCTGTTCGCGCTCTTGCTCTTGAAGCATAATGCGGTCTCTAGGAGGGGGGCCGTAGACTCCTGACATCCGGAATCCATCTGAGCCCTTGAAAGGCAAAGCAATTCAGGCTCAAACTTTTTGTTCCGGCCTACCCGCATTGTGAGAAGGACCATCAGCTTCAGCGCATGGGAAGCTATTTCCGAGTCCTGAAGGTAAGGATGGAAAGGTCGAGGCTGCCCGTATTGTGATTGCAAAAAACCGGGAGCATTATGTGTGTGGAGAAAGGTAGATAAATGGATAAACAGATAAATAGACAGATCGATTTGTGAGTTCATGTTGCCTGGACTCATTGGATGTCATACTGTGAGGTGTCTTGTAAGGATGCTTGTGAGTAAACTTGCGAGGTTTCTTGTGAGAATCCGAATGCTTGTGAGTAAGTTTGCGAGGTTCCTGTGGGAAACCCTGTGAGAAACCCTGTGAGAAATCGGAGGGAGAAACATGGGTTGTGGGTTAGCTTGCGAGGCTTCTTGTGAGGAACCTCGTTAGACATGTGTACGAAAAGCACAGGTTGTGAGCAAGCTTGGGACTTTGTCGTGCAGAATCTGTTGGCTGTGTGAGAGATTGTGTGCAAAACGCGGGTTCTCAGGAAGGGTTTAGGGTTTAGTGTTTTGGATTTAAGGCAGTTTAAGGCCTAGGGTTTAGGGATTATCACCCGGCAACGACTGAACCCGGGCCAGGGGCACCTCACAGCAAACCTCACAACAAACCTCACGACAAACTTCACAGCAAGGGGCATCTCACAGGAAACCTCACAGCCAACCCGGTTTTGGGTTCGGGCCGATCCCCTTGCTGTGAGGTTTCTCGCGAGGTTTGCGGTGAGTCCACCGCCCGCGGCCCCAACGCAGCCCCATCTCGGGCTGCGTTGGACAAACCGGGCCGAGGTCCTGTGAGTCCACCCTGTCAGGGGCCCCCCAGACGCAACCCGACCCCGCCCCCCTCCACGAACACGTCTACTTCCCCAGAAGCAACAAACTCAACCCCCGCCCACATCCTCACGACAAACCTCACAGCAAACCTCACAGCCAACTTCGCAGGACTTCTTCACCACACAGCCTATCTTACAGGAAACCTTACAGGATTCTCACAGAAAAACCTTCTGGCTGCTCTCCAGTCATTCCAGGGATAGAAAGTCACGAAGATAGATAGACAAACAGACAGACAGGGTCAGAGGTAGCAGACAGATAGACAAAATGAAGATAGATACGCTGATTGAAAGATGTGTGCATGCATATGTACATACATACAGGCATACATATGTTTAAGCCTGTACATATGCATATGCATATATGCATATGCAGTTATATGCATATAATGTGTGTATGTGTATATATATATACACATATGCACGTATATGCGTAAATGCAAAACATGTATAACATGTATAACTGCTGCGCAACATGTGTGCATGGCATACATAGCACCCGCAATGGAGATTGCCTGCGATTCAGACCACTGCGACGCCGTAACCGATGGCCGTTCTTGACACACTGTCTTCAAGTTTGGACGCACCTATGGTTGGATGTAGTATCGCACATCTTGCTGGCTTGTATTGCAAAGTACATGTAGGTGTGTATCAGATTGCTGCAGCCATGGATGCATGCATGCATGTGCAGACCTGCATGAAAGCTGGGCAACCTGGCAAAGGCAAAATGCGAGCACTGCCTGAAAGCTGCTTACAGCAACAAGGGGTATGTTCCGCTTTGGCATGAAATCGTTCTTCAAGCAGTGTAGCAATAACAGCTTTGAGGGTATTTTTGGGCGGCCTTTCGCAGGTACGTGAAAAAGGCGTCTTTTCTTCACAGCAAGTCTAGACGGTCTTTGTTAGGCGGCGCAATCCAGAAAGGCTCGCTGCCCCTCTGCTGCGAAACAGCCACAGCAATGTCGCTGACTGGCAAATGTCCTTGTTTCATTGTGTAAAAAGGCAACCGTCCAACTGCAAGACGATTGGAGAGTTACCTCCCTACGTCCAGGACCGAGGACCGTTCATGCCTGCCTACCTACATACCTACCCACTCGCCCGCCAACCCACCCACCCACCCGCATACACACACATATACATACATTCATACATGCATACCCTACGTACCGACCTACCTACATGCCTACCTATATATACATATGTACATACACGTGTATATAATGTATATATATATATATACTTCGAAACTATCTTCGATTCCCGCGGATTACTAGTGTACAGTCAAACAGAACCGACAACTAACAAAAACAAATGTTGCATGTCCGTCCGTGCCTCGATGTAGGACGTTAGCAAAGGGACGATCTTCCTGGGCAAGACCTGTCCAAGACTGCGGGCGCACCTGTTACTTGATGACTTGCAGATACGACTAATCTTCGCCTGCCATTCCCCCAGCTTGGCACGGACACAGCCCGCATCCTCATCAAGATTGAGCCCACAAAGTGCTTGCAGGATCATCTTGGCAAGCTCCACCGGTCCGTCTCAGAAACTGCTTTCTCCAGGTCTTGCAGAGAAGTTAAGCACCTAGCAATGCGGAGTGTGCCAACGTGCCGAAGCAGAAAATCGCCAGAAGGCCGCTCTCCGTGTCTGAGCGACAGAACTCGTCTCGCTGACGAATGAGGTATTTCAGATTCTTGTTTCCTTCGACCTCTCAAGTCAGGAAGAGAAAGCACCGGCAAGGCTTCCTGCCCTGGGAGGTGTTGCGCCTTGTGGTACTCACCGAGGCCGTAGCAGGTGTCGAAGAGACTCTGCATATCCTCCAAACTGACGCCGTGCCATCACATGTTGCCCTCAAGGCATGATGCCGAGGACCCCGCCGTCTCATCTCTGGCTGCGAAGTCAGAGTCTACTCTTTCTGCAGTCTCCATGCTGAACACCCACCCGGCCTACATGGACCCCTTCCTATTCAACCTGGTCCTGATTTGTATGGAAAGGGTCCACGACAGCTTCATTACATCAGGCAGGCTGCAAACAAGCGCAACGAAAACGGTGGACCTGTGCCCGTCTCTTTTCAACGACAATGCATAGCAAATTCTGGCATCCGCACACTGGCGAGACCATTAACAACAACGGGTCAGGTCAGACCAATGGCCGAGACAGGAACTCGGTTTTGTGGTCCGTCCGACTCCACGCATGCGCAACACATTACCCTAGCTACCAGGCTGTCCTGCAACCGTATTCAGTTGACGGCCAGTGGCAGCCAATCATGCATTATCACGTCACACTCACGCTTCATTCAAGTAGAAGTAACACGTGCGAGACAGCACTTGTGCACCACGGCGAGCTTTTAGCCGAGCACCAGGTTCGACTGGCCGCCGGGAGCTTGATGCACGACCTGAGAGACGCTGACAGCTCCGTGCCTGCGTCATCCCGCATCCCAGGATTCGGCTTCCAGAAGTCAGGCCAGTGCAATCCCGCGCCGCTCATGCCGGTCATTGCGCTGGTCATTCGAAGGCAAGACCTGTCGAATGGCAATCGCAGCGGCTGAACCTCTCTGCAAAAGAGCCCCACATCAGACAGGCTGTTGACCTCGAGAGCTTTGCGCTCCCTGTCTGCACCTGCCGAGATGCTTCGCAACCAGAGCATGCTAAGTCGCACAGACACTCGGAAACAGTCAGAACTCAGGCAAAGTCCCAGGGAAGGCAGCGAAGCGGCGATGGGCCTCAGTCGCTCCCTGAGCCGTGGCCAAAGCACCGACCACAGCCGAATGCAGTGAAGAAGCCCAGCATCAGCGGGAACGAAGACCACAGGTTTCGAGAACATTCCTCAGAGCGGCTCTGCCATGAGGATATGAGCGGCGGAAGCGGCTTCCGAAGCCGCGGCCTGGCCTGAGAGCTTCTCAATATGCACCAAACGGTCATTCAGATCCTTGCACCGGCGGCAAAGTCGAGTCTCGGAAATGAAAGCAAAGCCGGAGCCTTCTCACGCTGTTTCTGACCGATCGTCTCGATCTTAAAAGGCAGGCTCATCTGTGCTTTTTCCACTTCCACCTTTCGCTGCCTGGGCGCGGCATATCTCCTACTGAAAGAACATAGCACAGCAGTGCTGGAGCCTGAGGACGTCCAGCGTCTCCTGCCGCTCCTCTTCGTCGACTTTTCTGTATCCTGGCCTTCGAAAAGCGCTTTCCATGGCTGCGTCGAAGGCGGCTCGAGTCTGAGGCTCACGCGGAGGCTGAGGCGAGACGGGTCGCGCTGCTCTCCTCTTCTCCTCTCTTCGTTTCTTCACCCAGAAGTCTCTCTGAGGGAAACAGGATGAAACATGATGAAACCATCTGGTCCTCTGCGAGCTCCTCTTGACGTCTCTTCAAGTACGCAGGCACCTGCCCGGCTGCAGAGTCGACCATACTTCCGTATACTTCCAAGCTCTGTCAAGGCTTCAAGATGCTTCAAGACAGCAGCAGCGTGCAACAGCGACACCTTGCCAACGTCCTTCCGATCTATGGGAGGAGCAGCATCGCCTGGCTTGCACTGCCGGTCGCCAGGTCCGACAGGTGCGAGGGCCGAGGACCAGACCAATCCGGACCTTCTCCGGTGCTCGGTTGGCTGACAAGGAGCGAGCCTAACGGGACGGCCCGGCCCGGGACGGCAAGCACAGCCTTGGCTCTGCAAGCCTTAGCCCGTGCTGCCCCAGGCGCCCCACCTTGCGTGCAGACTCACTTGCTAATTGCAACTTTCTGGGCTTCGCAGGCCAGGACAAGCAGTCAGTTGAAGATCTGAATCTGTTTTACGCAGATGTGTCATCTGCTGTACTCGCGATCCAGTGAGTCGTTTAACGCTGGAGGGCCTCGTCCTGCTCTGCTGGAAGGCACGGAATCATCGTCTCGTTTGCCTCTTCGTGATGGGGCTTTCTGGTCTACTCCTTTCATTGCTGGTTCACTGGTAGCCTGGCCTCGGGGTGGCTCACTCGGGGCTCTTCGACCTTCAGCATCAAGCAAAAAAGTCACTGGCACCGTTTGCCGCAAAATACACTGACTCCCTAAGCTTTCCTGAACTTTCAACCTTCCAAGCCCCAGCTTCACCATCGCTTCTGTGCTCTTATCGCCAAGCCGGGATGCCTGCACCGTCCGCCAAGGGCCTTGGGCGTGGCCTTCGCTCTTCACTGGGCCTGCCACCGCAGCTAACATGATAGAGGGGCTATTGCCACAATCGGGCTTGAAGGTTAGAAGGATGCATGTACTGCTGTTCCGACGCATCTTCAGGCAACTGTGTGGGGATGTGCTACGCTGCGAGCTTCGCTGTCGTTTTCTGCACTGTGCCTCCTGGGGTGCGCAGAGCCAGCACTAGCAGGACTGTTTGTCTGTCCTGCGGCGCTAGATTCACTTCGACATCATCACACCTAAGAGCGATCATTTCATGAGAGCAATCGAGCCTGGCGTTGGCTTTGGCCTAACCAGGGCACGTGCTCGCATCAGGTTCAAGCAGGCCTGGCCTCGGCCTGGGAGGACGCCCGTAGCCATTGCGCTGCGGGGTGCTGACCTCCGCCTAAAAAAGTGCCAGCTCACACCCAAGCTCACGGAATTCCTATTGGCTTCGCCTGTACAAGTGGAGAATGAGGTCGGCCAGCAGGCGAGTCTGGTGCAGTCTGAGGAGACGGAGGTGCCTGACAAGCAGCCGCGACTGGTGAGACCAAGCAGGCCGCCGATGCGATGCGCAATGCAAAGCTGTGTGCCAGGCGCGGTCCATTGGATGCACCTCTCGGTATATGAATGGATACCGCAACCGCTTCGAATTGTTGTAGGAGAGGTTCGTTGAACAGTTCGACGAAAAACCAAGGGTGACAGGGCCTTCGCTGGCTCCTTCGCCCTGCTCATCATTATCTCACGCAGTGACGGCATCTCTGGCGGCTGCTCCAGCCGTAATCTAAGGACCGAAGGACAGAGTGTCGATTTTGCCTGAGATACTACACTCTGCTTCCTGGGCCGGAACCTAGGCTAACAAGGGGGTCGCTACGGACAACCAACTTCCGGGCTGCCAGCATCATTCTAATTATTCTAATTCTGTCAAAGTAGGCAACTACGACAGTTCCATCATGTCAGCCAATGAACTTCTGATAAACTGAGCTGCTGCCAAGGAAATTTCTTATGAAATGCAGATGTGAAACCGATCTGCCGAAAAAGGCTCGAGCCTGATGAAAGGGAGGGGATCGAAGAGACGCTCTCCAAATGCATACTTCGCTGTCAAGCCGCTCCTCATCCTCATCAGCACCATGATCACCCTCGCCGTCGTCGTTGCAATCACCATCATCACAGCATCGGAAGCGCTTTTTCCGGTGCATTACCTTGGCGACATGCGTCGCGAGCCGGCTTTGGGCGTGAAACGGACGGCGTGCGATGTCAACCCCAAGGGCTTTTCACGTCGGCTCTGCGGTCAGACCGGTCCTGCACTTGTTGCAGGGCCAAGGCTAGATGCTCCCACCGTTTCACTGCAACATCCCGCATGACCCTCGTAACTTAGGCAGATGCCATAGTTTGCCTAGCACTTGAAAGCACAGATTGGGAACCGGCGAAATGATGCCGAGTCCTAAGCCCTCCCCGTGCAGCCCCGTCTCCTTGGACTGGTCCCATGGGGAACGAGGCATATGACCTTGCTGAGCTCCCATGCCCTGCGCGAGTTCTGGAATTCAGGAATGGCAGGCAACCTACTGCTGGCTGGCAAAGGTAAGCTCCATTATGCTTCAATGACCTTTGCAGCATGCAGTTACGGACACGCAGGCCATAAGCATGCCAGGAGGCTGTACTCTCTCTTGATCGTAACTAGGATTGTAAGTACGCTGGAGCTTTGAGCTTTGAGCTCACCAGGGCGCTTGCGAGAGGTCATCGCTTTCAAGAGAATTGAGGACTTATTGAGATTTCCGATATGGCGAAATCTGTGCCAATGCGTCTCAGGCTTGAGGGCACTCAGTACCGTTCTGTAGACTGAACAACTACCGACATTGCCACAGGCACCTCTGGCGCCGACAACACCCCGCGGGATTGCTCAGTTCACACAGGCAGACAACAGACAAGCGGGAGGCAAATGAATCAGCCAATATCAGGCGGCAGTTCGAGCGTCCAGGGTCCGTTTTCTTCACACACTAAGGAAGACGGCAAGGAGACGAAATGGGGGACAGATGAATCTACCAGTCTTGGACGCACATGTCAGAGCAGCCAGGGTCTGCTCACTTCACAAAAGGACACAACTCGGAGACTAATGGGAGACAGCCTTTAGAAGTACTCCTGCGAAAAAGCCAACCTGAGCGTGAGAATGTCAGACTAAGTAATAGTCATAGTCATAGTCATAGTAGTTATGATAACGCTGCTACTAAAGTAGTAGTAGTAGTAGCAGCAGTAGCAGTAGCAGTAGCAGTAGCAGTAGCAGTAGCGGTAGCGGTAGCGGTAGCAGTAGCAGTAGCAGTAGCAGTAGCAGTCGTGGTGGTGGTAGTAGTAGTAGTAGTAGTAGTAGTTATTGTTGTTTTTGTTGTCCAGCATACTATCACTTACCGGAATATGAATCATACAGTAGCAGTTGCACTTATACTAGTACTGATACTATTCGTTTTTTTCTGCTACACTTCCGTGTCCGACAACTGTGACTATCACTGTCACAGCATGTTCCTTCTCGGTACGGACAGCTACTGCCTACTGCCCACATCATCGCAGATGCGGCGTGGTAATGCGATAATTATGATCAAACCGTGCCTCTTCGTTTGGCCAAGTCCTCCGCTGATTTTCGGTTGCACTCTGCTTGGCTCATGTGAAGCCGAGTCTCCAGCGATGCTGGCACTGGCCACCCTTGGGAGGAAGTGGCTTGCCTCAACTAGTCCGGCAGGATTTGGCAGTATGCTCCTTCCAAAAGAAAACTGCTCGTCGGGCTGTCAGGAGCTGACCAGCTCGAACCGTTCGAGTAGCCGAACGCGACCGGTCGCCCCTGTATTGCAACAGAAAGAGTGTGCGTCTGCATGGACACATCTACCCCCCCGATAACGGGTGCCTCTATGATCTCGCCGCCGTCATAGGTCAGGGCCTGCGATTACACATATTTCACAAGAAACCACACGGACGTGTCGAGTCAGCCTCCTGGGAGCTGGACAGGCTCGACCTGCCAGAGGAGTGCAGTGGCCCACGGCCCCTTGGGGGCTCTTCTGTTGTAACCGCTTGCACCTTGATGATCTGTACTGGTGCGTCAAAGCCAGTGGGCCCGCGGCACCCTCGCCTGTGCGAGCAGATCCATCTAAGCTTCAAGCCGAACCTTCACGGTTCGAGCTCCGTGCCCTCGTTCCACTTGCTACACCTGGCGGCAACTTAGAGGCTCTCACGCCTTGCCTTTCATGGAACAAAACAACCGTCGAACAGTGGGACCAGCCGCCTGGCCCTGAGTGAGTCCACGAAGGTGTTTGCCGTCTCCTGTGCTTGTGAGGCGATCTCCTCGAAAGAAGTGCGCATCTTGAATTCTTGCGAGGTACGCTTTATCTGGCATCCACGAACAAGGGATAGATCACGAGGTCGCACGGTGCAGGCAGTCCCGACCCATCCGGGCGAGGGCTTGCGTGGTGGAGGGCTTCGTCAGCTCTTCACAAACCTTGCCCATCCAAACTGGCATTCGACACTGGAAGTGATCGAATTGTCGGCCTGTTGTAGCTCGTGTCGCAAAGTCCCTGCTGCCTGGGCTCTGCAAACTCACGTACGCAGTATGGAGATGTTCGGCTTCCTAGAACTCGGGCCTGAAAAACGACTGTGTAGTATTGGCACATCTCCGCCACAACCTACGCGAAGAGGCGGCAAGTCTGTCACAGCCATTCGAAGCTGGCTACAGTGATCTTGCTGGAACCTGTCCAACCTCTTGCCACCTGTTCGACAAAGCTTCGTTCACCTGTCGTCCTGGGGCAGCCATTGCTTTTCAAGGAACGTAGTGTGCTGCGCTGTGCTGCGCATACACCATCTCCCAACTCAGAATGCCTGTCTCGCTGGTGCGTGTTGCAAACTCCTCACAAGGTGGCCAGGCTGGGGTTGTAAAAGTGCAGCACCCGTTGTGAGCTTGGTGTAGGCCTGCTGGCTGGTCCGCTTCTTCTCCTCGTTCCTGTTGAGCTTGTCCACTAGTGCAGACCTGGCACAACTTGCCAAAAAACTGGTTGAGAGTTCAGGGCGGGTGCAGTTTTTCCGCGCATGCCAGAGCAGCGAGGTTCCGCTTTTGGCAATCTGATCACGAAGCTTCTCCAACTTTTTGGTGTAGTGGTCCTTCAAGCAACACGTACGAGTCGCATGGCAGGTCTGCTGGCGCGCCCAGACGAAGCGCCTGACTTGTCCAAGCAGCATCCCTGGATGAGAATGACCTTGACATGCATGTCTGCATGTACACCCTTTCTGCCCAGATTACGACGTCACGAGGGCTGAGCTGATGAACGGTCTTGTTTCGTTCAGACCTCGGCACGTTTTCAATCACAACCCGCAAGCGCCGTGGTCACATGGGTTCCGACAGACCCCGAAGCTTCGTCTGCAGTGCCTCGATCTCGGCATCGTGCTCCTGTGGGGATGTCCGAAACATGTTCCGGGGCTGGGCGTAATGATGCGTTCACGATTTGCAAACACACCTGTCCTGGACATGAGTTGCGAAAGAGTCCATTTGAACGCAAAGTCTCTGAATGGCCGCACTGCCAGGCATTCCTTGACCTCGGAAAACTTCCAAACAACCGGGGACTGCGTGAGCAGGGGGCCCCGACTGTAGAACCGGCTGAGCGGGTCAAACAACGGCTTCGGTGCAGCGGCAAGCCTTCCAGCATAACAGCATGCCATCCCGTGCCTTTCTCTGGTACTTCACCAAGCTACACCCGGCGAAACGGGTCGGGTAAGTCGGAGACATGTTGACAGAGGTGGACAGGGTGCTGGCCTCTGCTCCAGATTCCCAGCGCAAAGCTTGGCAGGAATCTACACGTCACTAGCTGCTGTAGACCGTGCTGTAAGGTCAAAGCGCAAGTGCCCAGAATGGAAATCAAGGCATCCAGCTCGACGAGCTCAGCGCGCTGGTCCTCTAGGCGCGAGGCGCGCGAGGAGGAGAGCCCAAGGCTGGAAGGCCTTGGCCCCCTGCCTCCAGGGGATCATGAGGCATTTTCGCGGGACCACTCATCGCTTCCCTGGCTCTCCTGGCAAGATTGGCAAGGCGCGCTGGGCTCCCCAGGCAAGGCTGTGATCGACATGCCTGAAGGCTCCAGGCATTGAGAAGGTCGACCACTTCTCCGACATGGTCCTCAGTACCCAACAGAGGCAAGGGGGACAGCCCCGACAGCGCTACCAGCACGCCTTGTTGCACTCCGTCGGAAATCGGTAGCCTTTTCCAGAAGAGCCATGGCTGGCGCATTCCAGTGACGAGGCCACGAGGTCTCTCGGCTCTCGAAGTGAAGCAAACAAGAGTGGGCTGGTGCTTGAAACCCTTCGTTGACGGCTGATGCTGCGGTGCACAACTCCGAAGCTGCATACGTCGGCTTGAAGGTTGAAAGCTCCGAAGTCGGACGGTGCTTTCAGCATCCGCAATTCACCGTTGCTCGTCTGGCAAGCCTAAGTGGCTGCAGTACGTGGCCCATGTATATACAGTCGCAGTCTGAGGGCAAAATTTGGAGCTCACGGAGCCGTAGGAAGCAAACCAACGCTTGGAAGGGCGAAGCTTTTTCCTGCGTGGTGAAACTGTCGACGTTTCCGGAGCACACCTAATTGCCCAGAAGGTCGAAATCGTCGACCTGCCGCAAAGGCTGTTCAAGGCTGTTTCTGATGGAGATATCAGGACCAGTAGGTCTGCCTCATTGCTGAACTCTTTGATGTGGCGTCTCATCTTGGACCCCTCGGCCCAGGTAATGTGATCCTCGAAGCACAGCTTGCAAATGATGGACTGGCATCGCATCTTCAGCTGTTCCCGCAGGTCCTCCATTTCTCGCGTCACATGAAGCGCTGGATTGGTAGCCAAGTCCGGGCCAATTCGCACTTCACCCTGTGGCAGCATGCAGGCTGTTGGTTTTACTACGCTTCGAAACAGATGGCGTTGTCCCGGAGCCCTCGCCTGCTTGATGTACGTGATCGCTTGAGGCAGGTTCTCACACAACCTGAACTTGAAAAAACACCACGTCGAAAAGAACATCGTGCAGAAAACCAGGGAGAGCATCCATCATTCAACCGAGTCAAGAATGGTAGATTCTTGGCGAGCGGCCTCATCTTCACGAGCACTACCGGAAGGCGCCGTCGGCAGAATCTGGAGGTGTGCAGGTCCACACAGTCCTCAATCTAGCAAGAAAAGGGCACCGATGAAGAGAGCCTTTTCCATCTTCCCTCTGTCCTCCAGGCTCTGCTTGTTTTGTATCAGAGCCAGCGAATAGAGCTTGTCCAGCAAGATTTCCGTCATCTTGATTCGGTCTTCGTCAGAAGCCTACGGGCAACTGAAGCCAAAAGCTAAAGCTGCAACAGGGGAGATCTTGCGAAGTGCGTCTGTCCAACCTTCATCTTCCGAAGCTTCGCAACCACCTTCGTGACCAAACCTGCCAGCTTGTGATACCTGGCTGAAGGAGGGGAACCGCAGTCCGGTCGGTATACGACGCTGCAACACTGCGAGGGAGGTGCTTGGTGAAGTCTTCACGGTTCTCTATCTGATATTTTTGAAGCAAGGCCGACTCTCGCACCTGAGCGGAGCCAATTCAAAACACTGTGCATATTGAACGACGAACCGTCGCAGATGTGCTGCAGTTCTGGGCCAAGCACATTGTCGGTCGACTTCCAATCGTAGAAGTTGACCTCAACAAGTCACGACAGCAGCCCTCTTTGGGCCCGTGGCAATTCAGATGTGCCCGGAACCTTCTTGAGCAGCTTCTGCTCGTGGAATTTCAGCTTTCTCATTGCACGTTGTCGCAGTTGATTGCTAAGTGTCACTGGCAACAGGCATAGCCTAGCGATAGATGGCGTGCTGAGCTGTGCCGATGTCTCGATCCAACTGCTGTTGACCACCCCTCACGTTCGAAGCAGCTTGGAGACGCTGTCTCATGGCCTGGATCTTGAAGTTGGTAGTCGTGCGAAGTTGATGCTATGGGTACTCTACCCACTCAAGCAGGGTGCCTTTGATTTTCCATGCGATTCCACAGCAGGCTCTGGCAGCCGATTGCACCTCTAAGACCTAGGATCCTCTAGGCACACTGTACATGGCTGCATCTCAGCAGAACTCTGGTAGCTCGCAAAGAGGAAGCCGGCGTGCGCAGAATTTGGTGCTAAAGAACGTTGCAGCAGATTCCCACTCTCAACGTCTCAATGAAAACGAGTTTGAGCACAGATGTGATTCAAACCTGGGTGTGGCATGTGAGCCGATGTAGCAGAAAACCTTCACCTGAGGACCTGGCGCGTGGCGTGGTCCCGCCTTGAGCGGAAGCACTCTCAGCTCAGCGCCCGGATGCCAAAAGTTCAAAGTGCCGGCAAGGGAGCTTGTGGCTTTGCGTCCGGCAAGAGCGCCCATACCAGCAGTTTCTGCGTCCTCGGATCTTCGGAGCTGCGCCGTTTTGGGTCTCAGTCTAAGTGCTCTGTGAGTGCTCTGTGGGCGCTCTGAGTGCCATGGCCCCTTGCTCTCTCCGGAAGCTCCTGCGGAGCTTCAGTCTCTTGCGAGTCTTCCGGATCTTCCTCCGAAATGATGGGTCCTCGTTCTGGATTCGCTCTCGGATGGAGTAGACCTCGCAAGTTGAAAAAATCTCATGGCTCTTGGACCTGAGTGGAAGGCTCTCTGAGCAGGTGGCGACGCTGCGCAAAACCAGTTGACTGCAGCAGTGTACCAAAGAGGAGAGACAGAAAGTCGTCTCGGACGAGCACTGACTTAGCGAAGAGGTGCTTGCCTGCACGGCTGGCACATCGCCAGTTCGGTCCAGGCCTTGTGATCAAAGTTTACGGATGTGTGAAGGTGTAGAGAAACGGCAGAGGGACCAAGTGATGTCATCACAAGCGTAAGTGCGCCACACCAACAGGCATGTGCACGAGTGCTCCGGGCCCTCCTGATTCTGTATCTTCCCAGGGACGAGTAACGGGTATCTGTCGTCCATGAACGGAGGGTTAAAGATCCAAAACTATGCTTGATGCAGGCTGAATCAGACCGATAATAAGTTAGCTACAGATTTCATCAAAGCCTGATCCTCCGTGATTCGGCTCTTCCCTCTGCCCAAGCTGGTCCATTGTCGGTTGCATGGCATGCGAATGCGAAGGAAGGCGTAAAAGCATAGCTCAGCCCTGGCACAACCCCTACAAGTACTTACACTTCAAAGACTGGCTGGCCCATGTCCTCCGGGGACCGGTGCACTGCGCACTTCCACCGCAGAAACACCTTCCTCAGTTACTGCGCTCGTTTGTCGCTTCACGACCCTGAAGAGATTGGGTGCCGCGCTGGGTTGGGGTTTTCGAGAAGGCTTTGCATCGCCTGCAGCAGCGTCGGTGCATAGCATCACACACCGTACGACTTGGCACATGTCGCACAAAGCTTCGCCTGTTGAAGGCTCATTCCTTTGCTGTGGAGCCATTCCTCAGCTTTGACAACGCCTGCTGCAGCATGGTGCATGCTGCACTAGCCGTTGCCTGCAAGATCTCCTGCTCGAAGGCGTTGCTGGCCTGGGAAGGCCAACGAAGCCGCCAACCACAGCACCACACCGGCGCCCAAGTTACGCACCAGCGCTGACTTCATCAGCGCGGTGGCCTGGTTGAGGCGGCTAGAAGAGCCGTGGCTGCTGCGAGGTAGCTCTCATCTGGGGCACAGACTGGAAGGGGTGAAGAGCTGCCGAGGTCCACGGCCGCACCTCGAAAACCGAGCTCCTTGCCGTCAAAGGACACTCGCACAGGTGGACCGGCTCAGCAAGCGGCGCAAGGGCTGCCAGGCTGGGACTCCACAATGGACGCAGGCGGGTCGCAGAGCCTCAGCAGTCTCAAGCCCAAGCGATAGCGAGGGCAGGGGGGCAAGACTGCTTTTCAGCATGAGCCATCTCACAGTCTGCAGAAAAGCACAAAGGCCGGGGCTCCTGGTGCAGTCCAGGCATGTGCCTCCTCGCAAAAACAGAAATGCTTGGTGCTGTCCACTTTGCTCTTTACACTGTACACTCAGTCTATCACTGCCATGGAGTATTAAGTACATAACCCCGCAAGATCAACTATCAGAGGCCTGAAATATGCTGAGGCATGCACGCAGCGACGAGGGACATATCTTACAAGTTCACCGAGCGCCCTGCCTCCTCCTCTTCCTCCTCCGAATATGACTCGTGCTCATGCCTAGGTGCAGCAAAATGACGTTGTGAAGCTTTGGGCTTTCCCGGCTGAGCTTTTGTCTCAGAATCTTCTGCATCCATTGCTTCTGCAGCAGCTGCTGCAGCCACTACCATGCGTGCCATACCTGCAGGAGTGGGCGACGCAATGAGCAGAAGACGGACTGCCAACAGCACAAGAAGGCACGATGATCTACACTCGGCACCTGCAGCAACATCACCAGGCCCACGAAGCTTCAGCAGGTCGTAGCCGCAGTCCTTGGTGGCGTGAAACAGAAGCATGAAGCATGCTGAGCAGACCTGTTGCATGCGATGCTCGTGAAGCGGATCGCGACTGTCCAGATCAGAGATTGTTGCGATTGAACGCTGTCGATCAGGATGTGCCTGGGACATCAACCCTGCTTCGTCATACTCGCAAGACTGTTGGGCGAGGCAGCCTTCAGCAGACCCTCGATCATGCTGTCAAGCGCGTGATTCTTGCCAACTCCGGCGACCCCTTGTCGGCAGATTGGACACCTGTGCACGGAGGAAATCCAATGGATCTCTGAAAACCACCATCACGAGTTACTATCATGTGGCCAACGTGTGCCGCAATGTGACCCTCCAGATTACTGCACGAAACGACTTGGAAATCATACACTGAGAGGGGGCGCTGCAGCCCTCTGTCCTTCCTTCGCACATACATACATGCGTACATGTTCAAATGCATGCCCGTGTATACACGTGCTCGTCTTTTAGATCAGTCTATCGATGCGTAAGGAATATGGAGCATGCTCAATGTGTTTGTTGATGTTACATGGTATGGTCTCGCCCCTGTCGCGCCTGTGGTGGGGTCCCCGCGCCACGTGTACCATGACATCGACACCCCCGCCTCGTCCCTACCCTCTGGTCTGGGTGAGGGGTTGTGCTCCGTTCCGCTCCATAGCCCGCAAGCCTGCTCCTAAAGAAACGACGACAGCACGCAGATCACGACGCAGCCGCCAGGCTTCAGCCTGAACCCACAGAACCAACACGAGCCCACCAAATGCCTGGGAATTCGGTCGCCAGGCCGCTTCAACCAGCCACCCAAGCAGGAGCTGCAAAAGCCTGCCACTGCTGCCACTCTCTTCCCGTTCCGAAACCGCTTGATTGCACATGCGAAACATGCCCGGCAGCACTGTGCATGCATGGCTGTACCTTCGCTGTCAAGTTAACCAGATAACCACACTCGGGACGCCCAAAAACTTCCAAGAAGCAGAACTGCATAAACTCGGGCCCGCGCACTGGTGGCACGGTGCATCACCTGTCGAGTATCAGGCAGAAAGCAGGGAGGTTTTTTCCTCGTCCTGAGATCAACAAGAGAAGATTCAAACGTTGAACCTCCTGGCAGATTGCACACATCGCGCCCTCAAAGATGGCCTCCTTATTCGATGCGGATTTTGCGATCACGGATACGTGTGATGTGCGAATGCTACACCTGTCTACTCCTGAGCCAGAAACGTCACCGCCCTTGCCGCAGGCTGAGTCGCCTGATGTTGTCAAAGCATGTTCATGGTTAAGTTGTGCGGACGCAGAAGGGGGCCTTCTAATCGAATCTTTTTCTTCGGTGGACCTTCAGGCACCTAGGCTCCGGCTTCTGTTCGATGCAGCTGCGGGGCTATCAAATCGCATCTCTGGGCACAGCCACATCAGCATCTGGAGAATGGAACAAAAACGCGATGGCTGCAGCTTGCCCAACCTCACATGTCAAGTAGGTTCGACGATGGCTAACTGAACTGCCAGTATGCAGCCACGGGTAGTCGGGAACGTGGCATCAACGAGCTACATGTACCAGTACCAGCATTCGGGTGCGTATGCAAGCTAAGCAGGTTAGTGCGAGCTGCTGGCACGTACGGATGTTGCTACGGTGAACGAACGCTCTTGGCACACGGAAGTAAGCCATTTAGCAACCTCCAGAAACAAGAATCTATTCTGGACAAATGCCGAAATCAAACGTTGGCGAAGAGGAGATGCTTCCGCTTGACTCGGAGCTCGTGGGCTTGCCTTCGAAGCTGGAAGCACCTCCACCAAATCCTTCACAGGTCAGTAACTGCAACGAACACATGTCAATGTGAGCTTACAGATGACTCTGTGCGTCACGGCAAACAGGAGTGACAAATGTCCTGATCCTTCAAGGCAATCCTGACCTGAGTTCGGGAGTAAGTACAAGTAGCATCTCTCAGAGAGTATAACAGATAACGTACGACGCGTATGCTTCCAGTGAGGTCAGTGGCAGCTTTTTAAGCAGCTGAGCCGCTCCTCGGACCAGCTTCTTGTTCACCAGAGTGCCGTTTCTGGAGCAGTCCTCTCCCAACATCCCGTCCGACACAGAGTGTCTGGATACTCATCGGACTCCCGACGCTTCCTCCAGTTCGTAGCTCCACGGAGGCCCGGCAGCTCCAACAGTCTTCCGGTGGACTCGAAACTGCTCGCTCGAGACTCGCCTTGAGGCACAGAGCCCCACACAGATCGGGACGTGGGCTTGGGCCTGGGCCTGGGCCTGGGGTCTGGGATTCACGCGGATCAGTCAAGGTCGCGAAATTGGACTCGTCTCTGCCTCACGTGCTCACATCATGCTCAAGCTATCTCAAACTGCTCAAGCTCGGCCCGGTGACACATTCCCGTCTGTCTCGGTCATGCCGACACGGCTGCTTCACACGCTCTGGAGAGGTTCATCCCACACAAGCCCGGAGGCCTACGGACAGGCAATCGCACTTCAGCCTCAGAGATGCTTTGTAGGCGGATGAGCAAGCAGATTTACAGCCAAGCCCCTGGCACAATGTCTGTGGCGGTGGCAAAATTCACCGAAGACAACACCTCAAACCACTCGCAGCACCAACTCAACGACAAGTTCGCATCGGCAGCCGATTAAGTCAGGCGCCCCTGTGTGCTCATCGGACACGGGACCTGAAGTGTTCCAGGCATTCAAAGCACACAAACCGTGCTTGCTGGTCTGCCCATGCCTGCGTGCATGTCCGTGTCCATCACGTCCAAGTTCAAGTCCAATGTCTGCGTAGCAGCTCTTTTCACACCTCGATGCCACAAGCAGCGGATACCATGCGGCGCTCTTGCCGGCCTCGCCTGTAGTTTCAGGCACCGCGGCGGCGGTCGCCGCGGCGGCCGCCGCTGCGGCGGTCACGGCAGCGGCCGCGGCGGCAGCCATCACATCATCATCAGGCTCCGGCGTCAATTCCTCGGCCATGTCCTTGGCTCAAGGACTGCCAGACGAGCGAATGACGAGTGGTGGGGAACAGTAGGCTCAAGGCCAAAACACTCTCACCAGGTGTTGCACCTGGCACCGTGTCTGCTGACCTTGCTTCTTGAGGCGCACCACCCCGTCATGAGCGATCATATGAATGAGTATTGTTCCCGATCAATAACAAGTCATGCTTCGAATCGGCTGTTCGAGATTGCTACGCTCCCAACTCTCTGGCTGAGGCAGCTTCGCTGTTGCTTCTGCCGAGGCGTCTCCGAGCAAGTCCAATAAGCCATCATCAACCTGGATGGCTCAGCTTAGAATGCCCGGACCGGTCAAATCAAAACTGCTGGCACGCAGGTGTAATGAGAAATTGAATGTTGACAGACAAAGGCAGAAACAACAACAGTCTCAATGACCGAAACATCTGATTGCCACCTGTCAGGTAGCGGTTCCCAGACCGAAACAGTATCTCCTTGCGCTGGAAAATGGAAAGCTAGACTCAGCTCTGTCATCGCTAGTTGTATCATCACCTGCATCACCTCCCATCCCCTCGAGCCGCCATTGCCAGAAGCATCGCTTCGGATTAGACCAAATGCCTCGTAAACAAAGCCTGCCGTGAGGTGACAGGGTGGGTCAGAGGCAAGCAGCCACACCTGTGGGGCATTGAACAGCCCCGCTTTGCTAAGACATCGGCCTTACCTTCCTCAGGGGCATCGCCTCACGGAAAAGACGAAACTTCGGCTTCGGGCAGCGCTGAGCTGAGCTGAGCTGTGCCTTCTGCCAGGTGCGCACCCAGCACCAGGGTCTCAGCCTGCCACCAGACACAAGACGTCGCAGGGCTACGCTTCAGACTTCAGCCCGAGGAGCATCGTCGAAGTTCTCCATCCTGCCAAGGGACGAACGACGAAGCGAAGCAGCGCAAGCCGATTGAAACTGCTCCAAACTCAAAAGAGGGTCTCAGTCTGCATACTTTCAGACTTTCCACATCTCCCTGGCCTCGGCGATGCCTCGCTGCTGAGCAGCGGACAGACCTACCGGCCTATCTGAGTCTGCAACGGCGACGCAGGGAAGAAGGTGGGTTTCGCAAGGCAACGCAAGGCAACGTGGTGAACAATTCTGCACTGATGTGCGGCCCAACTTGCAGCCTTTTCCCACCCGTGCTCGGCCATTCGCGCGGCTTGCAGCTCGCGGCTGCCGAGACTTAGCAGGCGCAGCTGTCGGCTGTCATCTCCTGCAGACTATTTAGCAACTTAGCTCTTGCAGCTTTTGGAATTGCATTGCTTTGCTTCACGCATCCGCAGTCCTCTTCTTGCCAGAGCCTGTTCAAAGACGCTGTTGTCTGGGCTACTCGGCCCGCTCGGCTCGCCACGACAGCCGGGCCTTTGCCCTTGCCTTTTCCTCTGCCCTTGCCGCCCTTGCCCCTGCCTCTTCCCTGGGCACCAGGCACAGGTCGGAAATGGACAAAGTCTTCCGGCTCGGGAAGCTGAAACAAGCTCCTGACCCACGGAGACGCGGACATGTCATGGGTAGAGCTCTTGTCGTTCTGCTTGCTTCGCTTCCTTGGTGCCAGGTTGGTTTTTGGCGAGTTCGGCTGACTGGAGTTGAGGGCGGGGCTTCTTGCCACCGAAACCGTACTTTTCATCGAGGTTACGGCGCTTGGCCGACTTCATGGCCTCACGAGGAACACACACCACCATGCCGCTGCCACAAAAATTCGAGTTCTGTTGGACCGAGCCTTTCCCTTGCCTTTGCCCTGCCTGTGACATGGCGCACAGCGGCTCTGTTTCGGCTCCATCTCCCAACTTGTCTTTGCCAAGTTGCCCATCTTGGTCTCTCTTTTTCCCTTGTCGACTTAGAATCTCTTCCAAGTCCTGCAGCCACAAAGTTCCGAGCTGGAAGAAGAGGAGAGGCCAGGTGGCTGACACGGCGACACAGACATGCCTGATCGTCTTTGTTGTTTCCTTCGCTCTTCTTCCGCGACCGCCAGTTTGCAATCTCTTCCAGGGACGTCCTTTTCTCCTGTCAAGGCTTTCAGAGATCACCACAAACTGCAACAATGAAGAGCTCGCCAGGCCTGCGCCCTGGCTTCCAATTTCTTGGCCTTTGCCTCGCACCCAAAAGGGTGTAAGTCTGTTCATGGCAGAAGGGCTCGTGAGTAACTCGTTGTCAATCACTGCCTTCTTGGCAAACTTCTTGCTCGCTTGCTGCTTCTTTCTGTCTTCGACAATCTGTAGGGCAAGGTTCGTCTCACGATACTTTGATCGGCAGCCAGGAGCATCTCGCCTTGATTCGTCGCTCCTCCTCTGCTGCCTGTTGGCGAACTCGGTACATTTGCTTGTCAGGCCTCTGCTCAATCAGACATCAGTTCCGCGAGCACAGCAAAAGCGATATCGTGCAGGGCTCACACCGCATCATCTCGGCATAGAAGTCATTCGGTCTCGTACAGGGGATCTTCATGACCCGCAACCTGACAGAGCTACAAGAAAACCTAGCAGAGCCGTTCTTTCAGACACTTCGTGGCAGGCCCTGCAGGCCTGCGGTAGCCCTCAGCAGCTGCTTCCGCAGCCATGCCTGCCCCAGAAACGACCCGACCCAGGCTACTGGCTAATGATAGGCTCGACGACGAGAAGCTCTCAATTTGGACTACGAGTATACAAGGCCGTACAAGGTCCGAGGCAAGCCGAAAACGAGGGACACAAGAGTGTGGCCAGAAGCACAGACCTTGTCGAAGCAATTCCGAACGACTACAGGGATGACCACACTGCCCATCGCATCGCCTAGGAAGGCGCTTTCCAGCTTCACGCCATCTTTGGCAGTGACCTTTATCACAAAACTCTTGCGGCGGATGCAAAATCATCTTTAAATTCACAGAAAGCCTGCAGTAGAGCGATCACGACCATCCAGAGTTGCACTAAGTGCTTGACCCCTTTTGGCAGGTTGTTCTGTCCATCTATGGCCATGGTGTCCTCAGCAAACCGTCCTCTGCAATTAATTTTCCTTGGCAACTGTCCAGGGCGCTAGCGATCCAAGGGACGCGCTTCGCACCCTCCGGCACCTTTGCAAGGCAAAAGCTTGCATTCGTTGACGTTGCTGTTGGGCTCTACTTGCTGCTACAAGTACAATTTTACTGTTCCGATCACTGTCTGCCACCATGTACTTGCTGTAGCTCGTTCTACTAGTGTGGGCCTGTCGCTTCAATAACCGCTCGAACTCGAACGATCCCAACTATGCTCACTAGCTTGGGTGCTGAAGATGAAGATGCAGAGATGAGGATGAGGATGAAGAAGAAGACGATGATGATAATGACAGTGATGATGACGAGGAGGAGCAGGAGCAGGAGGAGGAAGAGGAGGAGGAGGAGGGCGGGGTCTCTGGTCTTCCCCTCTCCTCTCCTGGGCTGGCCTTGTACTCTATTTCGCTCAACCGCTGCAAAAGCAGCGGTGCTAGGCAAACACCTCGCTTTGCGGTGTCCTGACAGGTTGGGGATGGAGCTCCAGACCGAGGCATGGAAGCTTCTGAAGACAGGGACTCCCAACATGAAGTTACTTGTACTCGGACCGGCGTTCTGCGCACCACAACACAAGGATCCCTCATGATGCCTCACTCTTCAGAAACACAGGGAGGGCCTGCACCTCTGCGGATTCATCCTGACAGGGAAACCAGGGCGCACGGCGCAAGGAGTCGCACGCAGCAGCAGTGATGGTAGTGACTCAGCAGTGGTCTTTGCAGCTTCGGGGGAAGCGCCTGCGTCGGCTTCGGCTCTTCGCCGAGGATGAACTCCCCGGCTCTGAGCTTGGATCTGGACGCGAGCGGGACGTTTGCCATCAGCCGCACTGGACTTCCCTGGCGGTCTGCCGGTGCCTCGCCAATGCCTCGATGTCCGCTTCCTCGACATCGGAATCTGCAAGCCTCGGCACCATCAGATCCCGAAAAGACAGAGGTGCCCTTCCTCTCTACCGGGTGCAGCGCTCCGGCCCGCCGACAGGAGCCTCAGGCTTTTCCTGCGCGGATGCACATGGCGTGGCGCATCCCGCCCAAACTCGCGCAGCGGCCAACGGCGCTCCCTGCGAGGCTTCCCGCGGCCCATGGCCCCACTCCTGGACGGACGCGGTCAAAGCGGCGCTTCGCCAGGGGCCTTACAGTAACCTCCCCCCTTGCGCCTTCGCCCAAACAGGGATCACAACATCTTGCACAAGTTGCACAATGGCCGTATCTGCTGGATTCCTGAATGCATGGTCTAGCAAGTCCGACTTCAGTGATCCAACCTCTGTAGCTTGCAATCGAAAGTATATGCGTCTATGAGCCAATGCGAAGGACAGAAGCACAGGGGCTAGGCAAACTCAAAGCAACTAATGATGTGCAAAGGATGTCGCATTCCTCTTCAGTGGTTTTGCCCCGGTAAGCACGCACGGTGTTCGAATCCTCGACAGGCTCGAAGCGCTCCAAGGGTGTCCCACGCAGAGCGCTGGTGTTCATAGCAGCTCGGTCGCGGTCTCGCCAGGTCGACTGGGCCGACGGTCGAAGTGCACAGGCATCTTCGCTCCCGAACAGCCCCCGAACTGCATGCAGTGTCGCTCCTGGCACGCGTGCTTGGAGAGGACCGGACTTGTGGACGGCTGCCACCGGCCCGTCTCGAATCGGTTGGCATGGCCTTCCTACCTACCTTTTGCCTTCAACCACCTCAGAAGGAAATTCACCGCACCGGCGATCCTTGGCAAAACCATGCAGCAGTCGGTTATGCCATGTTATGCGAGGTTGCAGTCTGGACGGTAGCTCTCGCGCGAACTCAGAGCCCGTCAAAGGTGCAAGCAGCACAATGGCCAGAAACTCAGGTTCACCAGGCTTGCAGAGGAGTTCAAGTTCCCGAGCTTCTCAACGCGTGAGGAGCAGGCCAACATTGGCTCGGCCATGCCTGCCATTGCCTGAACAACCACTTCTTTCCCGAACCTCCATCCGACCCTCCCCGAAAATGATGGAATGCACGCCTCACGCATTTGTCGCCGCGCCCTTTTGTAGAACCTCCGCGCGGAAGCCTGTTTTGCTACATCGGGGCCCAATCACTGCAGTTGCACGTCACAAGATCGGCAAAGCCTTCATTTTGTCAGTACCCGTGGTCATCATTCCTCTCCACCTTATCACTCTCAGGCCGACGCGAGAAGAGCACTGTCTCCAGCAGTTACACGCGCACACATGAGTCCCCAGCTCGCTGTGAGAGTCGCTACTTTGTTTACGGGCAGCTGCCTCGCCGAGTAAGCACCAGTGCTAGACCAGTTACTTCGGACGAGTACAAAATGGACCTTGCACTCCTCCAGTGCATTTCGAATCTCGCGATCGTCTGGCATGATCCTGTTCAAGCTCATTCGTCAATCATAGTAATACCGAACACTCCCAACCAAAGCCTCGCTGCACCGATGAAGTCCGCAGAAGCCTCTTCGAAGTCCTTCGCGTGGCCTCAAGAAAACTTATGCTGCATCTAAGCATAACACCGGTGCGCTGCACTTGTGCCCACAATGTCGCACACTTGGTTCCATGCATCTTCCAAGACCTGTTTCTTCGTGGGTGCATCTCAGTACTGTCAGATGGCATCACCGCACTACGCATAGGGACCTCGGCGAAATAGAAGCTTGGCTCGCATGGGAGCTGGGGCGGCTGACATCCTGACATCAATGGCTTAACGGGGAATCATGCAACCGCTCTCCCGAAAAGGCGAATCTTGCCTATCACAGAAGGTGAGCCCCAAGGTGGCCGCCCGGACGGAGTTGTGCGAGTCGTTGCGCTTCAAGAAGATGTAACTATCACAAAGCACATGTCAAAAATCAATAACAAAGCCCATGAGTGCCCCGAAGCTTGTGCCTCAGGTTACTCAGGATAGGGAGAACCGCATCCGACGCCTCTCTTAAGCACCACGTACTCCTTCGTCTCACACGAGGCGACGTACTCATGCTCAAAGCCTCCCTCTTCTCGTCTTCAGAGTGCAGCACGGACTGACCCTCACCGGCAAAAAGTTTGATATCAAAACGCATTCAGTCGTGCCCGGCCTTGTTGAAGTCCAAGCAGTGTAGGCTGCAAAGCGCGAGCATCCTCAGACGGCAAGGCTGGCAAAGGAATGCTCGAGGGATTGCGAAGCTGAGCATCTCCACATGGCTTCCCGGATGTCAGCTTCCTTGACGCGCTCATTGCTGGCCTCACGCAGGCCTGGCGCAAGCAAGGACCAAGGAACCGCGTCGATCAACCCCAAAAGAGCAAACCATGACCAGGCGGCTTTTGGAGAGAGCCACCCGTTCGGAAAAAACCTGAGAAGAATGCAGTCAAGGCTTGGCTGGCCAGAAGATGCAGCTGCCTGGCCTCCGGACGCTTGTAGCCCTTTTCTTCAAACCATGAAAGCACCTGCTCAAAACTGCGATGCCCATCGTCCACCTTTCTCATTCTCATTATTAAGACGGCAGCCTTCCTGCCTCCTTGCATTCATCCTCCAGACAGAAATGCCGCAGAAGCTTTTCCTCGTCAATGTCCCAGACCTAGCTTCCATGAACACACCGGGTCCAGCTCAACGACTTCACAATGCAACTTATTTACACGGGAAAGGTGCGCTGATAGAAACGTGCGAACTCGAGCCGTTTCCCTAACATGTTCCTGGCTTGGGCTCATTTTCACTGGAAAAGTTCGCAGTGCACTGCAGCCGAAAACGTGTGAACTCCGCCTGCGCGTGGCTCATCTGGACGGCGGATCATTGGCTCTTCGTGCTACCTAGAGGCTCTCAGTTTCCAATAAGGCACTAAGGCGAAGCTTATAGCTGATATGCCCGTGACCTCCTGTAACAAAGGCAAAGGCCCGCCAGAAGAAAACGGGCTCACAAGCTATCTCGAACATGCCAAGTTCTGACAAAAAGAAGTGGCCGTTCCGGGCCCTACCAAATCAGCTCAAAGGCTTGAGCGGAATTCCTCAACGGAGCATCTCACGAGCAGGGAGGTGGAGAGGCGAAGAAACGAAGAAGCCGCAAGCCCATTCTTTTCACAGACGCGTCGAAGCTTCCTTCTAAGACCGGAGGGCATCCTGCTTTGCAGGAGGGCACAGGTCCCAAGCCCTGGAGTTCTCCTCTGGCAGAACTGAGCTCCAGAATCTCAGAGTCGTCGCAATCTGGAAGGAGATCTCAGATCTGGAGCTGCTTGGCCGGCGCGATGGAAATTCGAGGGCTCTCTTCGCACCACCGTGTGGCGATGATGGCCTTTCAGCCGCCTTTTCCCTTCCCCCCACCTTTCCCCTTGCTCTTGCCCTTGCCTTTGCCCTTTCCCTTTCCTTTGCCTTTACCCTTCCCCTTCTTTTTGCCTGCAGCCTCCTCCTCCTTTGGAGTGGCTTTGACCTTGACGGTTCGTCCGTCTATCTCCTCGGAAGGTGGACTCAAACTGTCTCGGAAAGGGCAGAAGAACACAGCTCCACGAGTCCTTGCCCTCCATTCCTTGGATGGCCGCTTCCATCTCTTCCGCTGAGGAGAAGGAAACGTCGGCTCGCCGAGGAGCTCCCCGCACCCATCTTCGCACGGTCACCACCTCCCCGAACTTCGCACAAGCCTGACACGTCACGGCCGGAGGGACACCAACTGACCACGGAGTGTCTGTGCCTGCCTTGCGCAGAGCCTTTCGCTTTGTTTCGAAGCTGAGCCCACCGATGGACACCGAAAACTGCGTTGGCTCTCCCTCATGGTTGCACATGCACCCTACAGCGTCTTGTAGAAAAACGGAGGCCCCTCAGAAGCGGACTTCATCGTTGTCGAGAGCAGGGTCCTCGACCAAAGCAGGAAGGAGACGGGGACTATAGTTCCGCCTCGTTTTTGTGGGGCGGGGGTCCTCATACTCGGGCGGATCAGTCTGAAGCTTCTTCGTTGGCTGCTCCTTCATGTACCAAATTGAAACGATCCCTGATGCACCCTCAGTCTTAGCGTGATGTTTCGTTGGCCTCCTCATCTACCTCTTCTTCTGCACACTCTTTCGACCGCTTCCCCATGGCTCAGATACAGCAAATCAATGCGAGCTTCGAGGCATGACGCAGCGGTGCAACGCTGATCACTGAACTGCTGTACAAGCAAGCTTCCTCCTGTCCCTGAGCGCAGACTTTTGTCAAGCACATCGCCCTTCCCTTGCACCCTCACTGAACCTCGATGCTGTTGAAAGCATACAAGAGCCCTCACATCCAGCTGAAGGCCATAGGCAACTTGTACACCTGCGAAGTTGGAGGACTTGACGCTGTTCCTGCAAAGCACGGGTTGGAGCCATTCTGATGAGGTGACCGAAGATGAAGCTGATGCAGTTGCCCTTGACAGGGGCTTCGGCAGCACATGGCAGCACGGCATACCCAGCGTCGCGAAAGTGCACTACCCGGACCGGCAAGTTTACACACCAACCTTCTGTCTCGCTTGCCCAAGAAAGCCACAGCAAAGGCCTTACCTTGCCGGATTGACCGGGCAATCGACGTCGCAGCGTCCATGTCGTTGATGCAATGAACGGATCGCAGGCTTAAGACCCCACGTGCCCCACGGATCGACGCTTCTTCCGCTGCTCTGCACGAACCAGGTCCCACAATCCATAGCTCGGGGCAGGTGCTGGAAGGTCCTGGGTTGGCATCTCCGCCACAACGGACCTACCCAAGGAGTTTGCCCACGCTTTTCGCTGAGCACGCTCTTGCTCCAGTGACTCCAGTAATTCGGCTTCTACTTGGCTGGCTTGGCTTGCTTGGCTGTCCCCCGGCTCCTCAGGTTCTCTGGCAGAGCCCTTGGCAGAAGGCCTGGCACGATCCCGCTGCTGCGAAGCTCGCGATTCAGACAAAGAGCGCTTCCAAGTCTCGGCGGTGGAGGTGTCTTGTGCGATAGGGATCAGTTCGGAGTTCGAGTGCTGCTCAAGTATCCCCGGCAGGTGCAGATGCGGTCCAGGTTCACTGGCAGAGTGTGAGGCGCAGCGGCCTGGACCGCAAGCATCGCTGTCCAGAGCCATGCAAAGGTTGATGTCCACAGACACGGCATCCAAAAGTGCATCGATGTCCTTTATGCCCACAAACCTGGCTTCAATCCACAGTGGGATCTCTCTTCCTGACTGCGACCGACCTAATAACTGCAGAAAGTCTTTGGCCGCTTCATCGCCGATGCTACGATTGTGAGAGAGCAGAATCTTCTGCGGTGGACCCCTTCGCTGCCTTGTCAACCACTCTGCGAGCCACTGCATTGCTTCTGGGTCGAGTCGGTTGCGCTCCACATCTAGGCATGACACGTGATGTCCTGTCTCTTTCGCAACCTTGAGGAACGCTTCGAGGCCACTTCTGCTCAAGCGATTTCCAGCGAGCAGCAAGCAAAGGTCCAAAGCTGTAGATCCGGTCCTGACCCCCTTCACCTTCTCCAACACTGATTGGAGAAACTTAGCCACCGTTGCAGCAGCAGAATCCTTTATGCGACGACCACCCAGATCCACAAACAAGCAGGGCCCTTTTCGGTAGATCCACTTGGGAACCGCAGGGTCCGGAGAGCTGGAGCCGGTGAGCGACGGAGCATCCGAAGGAAGAGGTCTCTTCGACTTCGAGGAAGAGCTTCTCGCACCGTCTTTCCCGGCTGTGTCTGCCTCTTGCTCTCTACTCCGGGACTTGGACTTCTTGGGACTCGTCTTTCTGTTTGCCACCGGCGATTGCGAGGGAGATCGCTTGGCTGCACTGCTTTTGCTTTCCGGCACGACCTCCTTCTTCAGGTTCGCACCGAGAGGCTCCTGGTTATCCTCTACTGCATCTTGCACGAACTCCGACAATGGAAACTCCTGGCAGGACAGTCACGGAACACATTACTTTCATTAACTGTCATTACATCCCGCAACTTGCGCCCCACAAAACAGCCCTGCAGCCTGGCACTCGGCACAAAACCTCACGGGCCCGAGGACAGAGAGAGCAGGAGCGCTCGTGGTTTTTGGTTTTGTGGCTCAGCTCCGGGCCAGTCTCCTTCCGGTACTCCGGGCCTCGGAGAGCGTCCGAAGCTTCGGAGAGCTTTCGATTCATTGGGCCGCTAGGCGCAGGGCAGGCCGACACAGTAGAAGTGGGCAGCCCCCTTTAGACATTTGCAAGGCATGTCTTCGCACGACCGACGACGGGGAAAACCGGAGGCTCAAACAACACCCTTGCAGGCAGATTAGAAACCCAGCCCAGGGGAAAGTCCAGAAGGAATGCTGCAAACGCGGTAGAACGACCTACCTGGTAACTTCATCGCTGCCAAGCCCTGCCAAGCCACACGGCAGCGACCGTTGCGTCCATCGCACAGCAGGAGAGCGTCATCCCCTCCTGGTCGCTTGCCTGACGGTCCGCGAATCGGTTTCCACGGAAGTGCTTCATTGGCCAAGCCCGTGACAGATGCTGCACACGTGATCTTCAAATTCAGCACTCGTCTCTCCTGCGAGATGGAAAAGCCCACCGCATGAACGCTAGATATGAGGAAGGTGAAGCACAGGCATCGTGTCGCGGGATCATGTGGCCTTCTGAATTCTGATCTTTCTCTTCTGCAGTGATGATGCCTCAGAATGCAACATCTAAGAAAGATCAAGTCGGTTCAACAGAAACAGCCCAGGCCCCCGCGTCGCAAGTCGCCGTTAGTGTCGTAGACACCAATCCGGTAAAACCTGTTCTTGCACCTCAGATGATGCGAACCTGTACTCAGTCACCCTCTGCAGCTAGACAGCCCCCAGAAGTGAGGGCGCTGCAATGGGCATGTGTTCTCCTGCTCTGCCCAGGTCGAGATGCACCTGCGCATCAATCCGGCAAGCTAACAGAGATTAATGCACGGCCCTGCGAAGAGTCAGACGACCTTACGTGAAAGAAGTGCGTTGGGTTGCAGGAGTCCAGCACGGCCACGAACTCACCCTCTTTGCCTGAACGGAGACGTGGTCCGGAGCAGTCAAGCCTCTCAAAGCTAAGGGCAGTGCTGGCTGTGTCGACATCGAGCAGACAGGCGCCGCACCTCCGGGCTGCGTTTCGGTTACGGCGGTGAGTGCAGTCGGAGCTCTCGGCCGGGCTCAGGTCGCGGCTGCTTTGGAGCGCTGCTGGCGGCGCTGGCGCTTTCCAGGAGAGGACTGGGCAAAGGGGCGAAGGGGCGAAGAAGGGAACCGGGAGGAGAGCTGCAGGGAACGCGGGAGCATCCCTAGCACGAATAGCACGTGTAGCATGCCCTGCCATGCCCTGCCATGCCCTGCCTGAAACCGGACCTGCCCTCCTGCAAGGCAGCCTGCAAGCGAGTGCTGCGCCTGTCAAAAGGGAAGGCTCTGCGTGTTCCGTCGTAGTAGTAATGCTCACTCTCGCTGCCTGGGTGTGGTGTCCATGGCACAGACCGGGACGTATCAGCTCATGGCAGTGGTGGGCTCAAAAAGGGCGCAACTGCCAAGACCTTCAGTGATTTTTCGTGTATTAAAGGCACTTCGGTACGAGAAGGCTGCAGAGCAGAAGGCAGCTCACACTGCGCATCTACCAGCTGAAGTCCGTGATGTTACATAGAACACATGAGCAAGTTGTCATAAGCCACAGCGCCGCGCATTTCTACATCAGACTGCTCAGGATCTCTGTCGTCGGATGGACACTAGTCCGCTGGATTCTTGGGGCAAGTTTATGTGGGCTTTTGGCCCGAAACCTCCGAACAAGCCGGAATCTGCTGCCACATTCCGGGGGAGTTGGATGCTGTATATACCGGGTGTTCATGCATCTGCGCCCGACTGATGCAAACAGGTGCCAGACGTATGCCGACATGGGATGCGCAAGCTCCAGAAGGTCACAATGCGCCAGATAGTGCTGGGCAGCAAAAACATGACCCGCAGCCCACCGGGCGTCCTTGTAAACAGGACCACTGTCGCATGTGGTCTCGTGACTGTGTCAAGAGCGAATGGAAGGGTGATCGGATGCTGTTGCTCCCGGTCCTGCAGCGCATCCAGGAGATGCCGAACCGCCAGCCCCATCTGGCACCTCCATGGGCTGCTGCGTCTGCTATTGCAGGAATGCCTCAAACATCCTCAAACACCTCATATATTGAGACCACCCGCAGAACCCGAACCAGGTTCGACGTATCCGATACAGCCCAGGCACTTCGATGCGGGTTCGTTGACCGCGAAAGGTCGGTCCACCGATGCCAGCTGTTCCAAGGCGTCTGCGGTGGAAAATGCATCAAGTCCGGGCCTGACAGAAGGTTCGTTGCTCTGTGCGCTCATGTCACCTGTGCTTTTTGCTTGTGGCCCGTGCCTCCTCTCCGCGGGCAGAAGCTTCTCTGTTAGAAACAGCAGCATGTCGAAGGGCGCCACTGAACCAGAAGCAAAGAGTCGGATCTGCGATCGGTGTAGGAAGGCCACGACACACCACCACCAGTTCCAGAAAGACTGGCGCGTGATGTTTTCTGCAACATCTGTGCTCAGGCCAGCAGATAGAAACTCAGGATCTACATATGCACCCAGCAGAACGGCCACACAAGCATCACACTCGTGATCCACCTCGTGCCGCTCCACTCGCAGCAGCCTCTCTAGATGCGGCTCGGCGACTTTCCAGCACTCTGCCAACGAGTCCAGCAAGTCCAAACTCGAGTCGAGACTTTGAGTGCGGGCGTCCAGGAGTCGGCTGAAGTTCTGCATCCCGGCGGCACAAAGCAGGTCCAAAGCACAGCTGGGGTTTGAGAAGCAGGAGCCACTTGCATCACTCGCACAGATGCCCGGTTCTTTGGATGGAGCCTCTGATGGAGCTCTTCTCGGTTCACCTGCTCCGAATGAGCGCTGCAGACGCAGCACGTGGTGCACGCCTGAGGGACGGGGAGGCCGGAATTTGCCCTCCGCAGCGTCTCCGTGACAGTCTTCCCGTTTGGCCCATGGAGAGGCACACAACACTTGTCTGTAGTCGAAGGGGCGTTTCGGCAGATTGCACCCCTCATTCGGGGAAGAGCTAGGTTCGCACTCTGATTGAAGCAGGAAGGAAGGACCAAGCCGTTCTGTGGCACAAGCACGCAACTGCGGACGTAGCCACTTCACGACGGCGCTGTCAGCAAAGGATCCGTTCGATAGCACCTGTGGCAAACAAGGCTCCAAACTTCGGACATAGTGAGGACGCATGGATGGGAACGATGATTTGGAGGTGGTTGGCCGTTGAAACATGCGGTAGTGCACCGAAAACCCGCGGAAAGATGCATCTGCCAGCTCATTCACGATGCACTGCGATGCAAACAACGAGATTTGCTCAAAACTCTCCTCGTACGGCAGCAGCGCTGGATGGACCGACCAGTGCAATGCGATCACCTTGATCGAGGCAGGCCCGGGCGCTTATTCGCTGGGCTTTTGTGTCTTTAGAGGTGGCAGCTTACTCGGTCTTTGGGCTGTTGAAGGCGCAAGCATTCGACATCAGCCCGCACCTTGTGATCGATGGTAGACGTGCAAACACGCATATCAGCGGCGCCCAAACAGTCTGCATCATCAATGCCGAAAACGGGGGTTGCAATGGCCGGCACGTCTGAAACCAGTAGTCGGTGGAAAAAAGAAGCAGGAGACTCGAAAGGGGCTGGCAGAACATCACTGTTCCCACAAGACAGAGGGGAGCAATTTCGGAAGATAAACTCTCCACTGTCATCTGCCAAAATGAAGTACAGAAATTGCATGCTTTCCTCCAGCTCCAGCTGAAGAGCGTGCTGGTAAAGCAGATTGCGACCTGCAGAAGGACACGCAAACAGAGACCGCCCTTCTGCTGTTCACCGAAGGTTTAGCCTGGGATTCTTGTTTGATCGATTCCCACCTGGAGTGTAGGTCATGTTGCCTCGGACGGGGCGGCCGAGAGACCAATCGACTTCGGGCAGACAAACGTGGAGGAAGCGAGGCCGGTCCACCGTCCGGTCGCAAAGACCGAAGCTTCCCCAGACCAGCCAGGTCTCCGGCATCTCCGGAATCGCTGAGAGCCAAGTAGGTGGCAAACCGAAGCCCTGGCTCATCCACACGAAGCCCTTTGGCGAATCGCCGCGGGCATCGACCTGCACACCAAGGACCAGAAGTGACAGGAGCGATACTCCCATGTCCGCCGTCCGAGCAGGCTGGCCAACGTGAAGGGACCATTGCTGCGTACTCCATTGGCGTCGAGGGATTCGCCTTACCGGACAGTCTCTGAACCAGAGCCCGAGGAGATGAAGCTCATGCTTTGCAAAGAGTCCGACTCCCCTGGTCCTTGCTCCAAGCAATGCCTTCCTGTACGAACCGTTCACGTTCTGCTCGGTTTCATTTGTTCTCACATCAACGTCCTTGTGGTGGGGCGCCCGAGTCGACTCTACTGACTCTGCTGCAAATCTGTCGTAGACCGTGCTGGTCCGAGTCCACGGGGCGAGGCTCGTACCATGCAGGCACGCAGGTGTTCTTGCAGGGTCTTAGTGTCTTAGTGTGCTTTGGCCTAGCAGCTAGCTCAAGGCAAACCCTGGCACTGCTGATTCTGGAAGACCGTCGAAGCGGATCGACAAGCGTTAACTTCCTTCCCAAGTTTGCTCCGAAGTTTGTTCCGGATCGGCCCCAATTCACTGTCCCCAACTCAGGCAATGCAGGCACAGCTTTTTGCACGCTGGCCCCGCAAAGCGGCTCAGAATTCGAAGCTCGTCAAAGAAGTGTACTGCCTCGAGAGGAGCAGAATCTACAGCCTGAAGCGGTGCTCATCAAAGCAACTGTTTGCGGCCTCCAATCTGCTCCATGAGGGTGCTTGTGCAAAAGAACACCGCAGTGAAACCTGTTGTCCTTCCGCATTCATCAACACTTTCATCATTCCCTGAGGACATCCGACTCCGGTATCCAGGACTTTTCGGGCGCGAGGTTTGGATTGCAACCGCGGAGGCCGGAGGGCAGGGCGTTTTGGTTGAGTTCCTTGGGACCATGTAATGGAATTACTCCGAGGAGACTTGTTGGTTCAAATTTGAGGGGTCTGGTAGGAGGACCGCCTCCCCCGACCCCCCTTCCCCCACTCGCCGTGGCCCTTCCCCTTCCTGTCCCGTGCGGTGCGGACCCCCGCCAACCTTGTGTCCCTTCCTTAGCCTTCCCGAAGCGACAAGGCAACCAAAAGCACCCGAGGTTCGGGTCTTCGCTGCTTGCAACGCATGAAGCTGCAGACAAGCATGGCGAATCTCGGAGCCGGCTCCGAGACACTCTCCCGCTAGTGGCCAGATTATCTCGCAGTTGAACCTGCTTGCCCCCCTAGGTCCTGCGAGTCCCGCTGCAAACGTTGGCAACGATGACTCCTACAAAAGCAGTCTGCGCGTACAATGGAGGCTCCCATGTTGTTTCAGCTAGGACTGCAGAAGCACGGCTCCTTCTGCAACACGCTGAAAATCGATGTTTGCCGCCGCACATCATTATCAAGCAGGACGCGCTCCCGCCTAGCCGAAAGCAGACCCGAAGCGGAAGACAGAAAGAGACCGAGCCCAGATAAGACGAGGACAGATCGCTTGGCCGCTGACGCCCTGCCGTTATCCATGATGCGAGTAGCGAATATAAGCCAGAGCTGCGCACCGCCGCGCCTTCTCGGGCATTTACAGTCTTTGCAATTGCCCAGGATTGAGGATCACTCTGAAGAAGGTCAGCGCCTTCGTGCCAGCACAGGAATGGCGGGGCAACGGCCAGAGTCGAACCGAGCAACTGACCGGGCTTGAAGGTTATCTCGAAGGCCAGGTCGGGGGCTGACAAGGCTCCGTGCCTGCTGCGACGAATCCCTCAAATCCCACCAATCTCGGTGCGCTCGCGCTCTCTGCAATTTGCCGGACTCACTGCAGCACTTCGATGATGCACGAGCAGTTTACCTGGCAGATGCAGCCCTGCATCTCTGCAGCGGACCCGAGAGGGTCTCTCCTAGTCTTGCCATGTGAGATTCGGTTTGCACATCCTGCCCAAAACAATCCCGCGCGCCTGAGATAAAAGCAACGAAGCACTTGTGCCTGATTCTAGAATTTAGGACATGGCAGCGTGCCAAAGCATCTGCAAGGTTGCCAGACCATTGGCATTGAGCTCCACACCCTCGTGCAGAACCTCGGAAGTGTCCCGTAGCTACGATACGATCGATGGGCGCACTCAGACATGTGCATGAAACAGCTGACGAAACCACTGCAAGAATCGAAACCCCAGCACAGAGCAACCCATTTTCCAACATCCAATGACCCGTTGCCTACCGCTTTGGCTTGGCCTGCTTTCCCGACCGAATGGAACGAGAAACCAGGCTGGATTTCTGATTGAAGGCAAAACTGGACAGCTGGCAGGCGCAGGACAGACAGGACGAAATCGAAAGCCGGACAAGGCCCGACGCAGCAAGAATCTCTTTTCAGCCTCAAAGAAGAAAAGGACGCGGCTCGGAACATCCGCGGTAGACAGACCAACCGAGAGCCCAGACGCCACCCCCAACTTATGGAGGGAGACAGGCACGATGGTCCCTGGACAGAGCCTGAACGACCCGGTTTTGCTGTGCCAATGTCGACGGATGTGGTTGAGCCAAAAAGTCCTTATGCAGTTCTTCATTTTCGATTTTCTGCCGTGAATGAGGAAAGACTTGCACTCCCGGACCACTGCACGACGACAATTGTCCTGGATCATGTTGACGGGACCATGTAGATACAATATCCAGGCACAGATTTTGGTATGACTGCATTAGATACATTGAGGAGTGGCGTCTCTTGTTATGCCGGTCCGCTATCAGTAGCATTGGCTTAAATTCACAAACACGCATAGGCAGCAACCCAGACTTCCAGCACGAGGACTGGTGACTCGGAGGCCTGGCTGACGCCACAGCCAGTATGATGCAACGGGCAACATCCATCTTAGGATTGCGATCCCTGGGGGCCTGCTGCAGGTGACTCTCTTGCGGAGAATCCTCGCTTTTCAAGCACGGCTGAAAGGCGGGAACGGTGGCAAGGTAAGCGAGTGGCAACCACGTTGGTTTGAAGCCATGCTCGACACTCCGAGCCATCGCTCGTGACGACACGTGTGTCCACACCTGCGCAGCAGCTGTACGATATATGCTTGCGGAGCAAGTCCTGCAAGTCCTTTGTTCTTGTCACATTGTGCCGCTTAGCCCGTGGCTTGTGGTGGGCGCCGGCAGCTCATGCACTGAGAGTTCAGAAAGCAGGATGCTGACGGCATCCATGGCCTTTTCAATGGCACATGTAGACTTAAGTCGGAGAAGCATCTCAAGGGGCCTCGTCACCAAGCTCCATGCTTTCCTGGAATTCGCATGCCGGCGGACGCAGTGTCCGCAGCTAGGAATTGCAGAAGCACAGCCTTCTTGAAGTCGGAGAAGACTGGAACATCTGGAAGCTCCGGGAAGGACTGCGAGTCACCAATCTGCAAGGCCTGGATGCCAAGCCCCGAGTGCATACATGTTGCTCTCTTGTGACTCTACCATCATACCGCCTCTGCCGAAACCAGCGATGATGCTGCAGCAGCGGCAGCTGCTGCGGCTGCTGCTACCTGCTGGTCTTGCGTCACTGCTCGTAGAGACGCGGACTCGCGGCTGAAAATGCCGCGCTGGGTCCAGAGCAAGACGGGCCGCGCTAGTGGCCCCGTTTTCTTGGAGGTCTTGCTGTCTGCGGATGTCCTGTCATCTCATGCAATGTCATACAACTGCTTGGCTTTGCCGTTTCATCGGTACGAGTCCTCGCTGAGCATCCGCAGCCTCTCTTCGCTAGCACCGGACAGACGTGGCTCCTGCACGTCCAGCTCCAGGCTCCCGATGTCTCCAGGCGACTGTGCAAAGCTCCGGAGACCTCGTCGCCAGCGAGCCGACAGGCTTCGGCCAGATCGATATCGGCTCCTCCACGGCTCAGATTGAAACACATTCATGTCGAGTCAAAGGATGCCTTCACCTGCCAGTGGCAGTACAACGAAGGAAACCGACTCGATGTCTCCAGCAGCCTGCACACGGAATTCTTTCGCCCAACCATACAATGGCTCTCTTGAAGCACCTGGTCATCTGCCCCGTCTGTGCCCCACTGGTCCTCACAGGACTGGACATTTGGATCGCCAGACGCTGCCCCGCCACCCACTGCCCTGCTGGAGTCCTCGGCTGCATCCTCAGTTGATTGCAAACAAGCTGCACCACAGTTTGAAAGCAGACTGCTTGGTCTTCCGTGAAGGCATCAATGCAAGATGTCGCCAAGTCCGGCACCTCAACGACTTCTCCATCACCTTCGCCGGCAGCGTCTGCGCCGGCCACGAAGTTCCTGCGCAAAGGCAACCGAATTGGGGAGTCGAACGGAAACGCGCACTCCGCGCTCCTTTCTTCCTCGCCTTCCTGTGGCTCTCCCTCTCCTTCTTCAAGGCTCCTCTGCAGGACCTGCCAGGTCTAACATCGCAGAACCGTCGCCAATACGGAGCTACCCCCCAGCCTGAGCAAAGCTCGCCTCCAACTCAGGTCTCGCGAAGTCCTCAAAGTCTGAGAATAACTCTTGAGAGCCATTGAGTGACCATCAAATTCAGATGCATATCCGTCCTCCTGGCTAATGAAGCCTGGGACACCCCGATTCAGCGTGTCCTGTGCCAGTGATGTTTATGCGCAGCAGTGGCCCTGGGAATCCGAAGCCATGGGGACCAGGCCCACACCAGCTTGGCATCACCCTGGAAGTTGAGCTCTCGCATTGCTCGCATGAAGGTGGACTGGGACATCCGGCCGGACATGTTCCCACCTCGGTCCAAGAGACGAGAGTCCTCCAAGAATTCCAAGGTCGTTTCCCGCTGGGGTCGCTTCACCAGCTCCAGAACGCATCATCGAGAGAAGTGAACTGGGTAGACCTGAAAACATCTGGGGCACGGGAGTACGAAAACCAAGGAAAGCCAACAGGCCAGAAGAAGCTTGGCTTCGGACATTGCCTGCATCCACAGCTGCAACTCTGCTTTTGAGCCTTTCGGCCAGAAGCACTCGAAGAAGCGCTCTCGAGTGTGCGACGGAATCTGAGGCCTGCACCGGCCACACCTCCAGGGTTCGCCTGGGTTACGCAGGCACATCCAAGCAGCGTTAAGTAGCGTGTGTGAAATTAGACGGTGCTCGGCTGCAGGCAGAATGAAACACGGGGCTTTGTAAGGGTTGTCCAGGCCCGGCAGCACCTGGGGTGCCTCCGCCCACAGAGCGCCTGAGCTTCGAAGCACTCCCAAACGCGAGCTGAAGGCACCAGCACTACAAGCTTGGGCTTACCAAATGATGTGGAGCTGGAGCAGGATGGTGTCAGGAAACGGCCTTAGGGCCCAAAAGGTCTGGCATCTCATGGAAGGCAAGCTCGGGGAACAGCTCAGTTTCTGACGACGGTGGGTTTGCAAACTCACCTGGACCGAGGAGCACAGGGCATCCGTTGGCCTCCAGAAGTTCACCTGGTCTCTCTGAGCGCGACAACCCAACCCAAGCACAAGCTCCGTGTCTGGAACTGAGAGCCTGGCTCAGGATGCGACCGTTCTCGTGCAGCAGCCCTTTGAGTTGAGCCCCTTCTGCGCCGGAAGTCCTGTCGTGGTTTGCGCCGCGGCATCGCAATCCACCGAAAGCAGAATTCATAATTGTGAATTAAATCTCTTTCGGGTACAAGACAGCTTCCTGCACTGCAAGCACCGATTCGAGCTCTGGAGAACAGGTTCATGCAGTGGACGGTAGATTCGTGCACCCGCGAATGGCGCACCGGCGCGAAGGACTAGAGCACCGAAGCTGCACACTGAGAATGCCAGATTCGCACACTGACCGCCAGGATTCGCGCTACAAGATACTTGCGCACGGAAGTCGTCTAAAACCCCATTGTAAACCCCAGTGTAACAGTTAAACACCCTCCAAACGGAAATAAAAGCATCCAAAGGTTGACTGTTGACTGCTCAGTGACACGACATCTATTCAACCTAAACCCTAAATCCCTCAAAGCTTAAACCTGAAATTCATGACTAAACCTGAAACCCCAAAAGCTTAAACCTGAAACCGCCGAACCCTGTGACCCCAAACCCGTGAAACCTTAAATTCCAAAACCCCTAAACCCTGGAACCCCAATTTTCGATGCGGATCCCCCAAACCCGGAATTCTTAAATCGCAAGATCCTAAACCCGAATCCTGCAACCTGCGGATGCTGAAATCTCACTTTTACGTCTTTCTGCTGGACGAGCTGAAGACATGCGGCGGCGTGACACCCGGACCCCTTGTCACAAAGGTCTGCGAAACATGCTGGAAGCACTGCTCTCGGTGGGCAAGGCTGAGCAGGTCCTGCACATACAGAAACCAGCAGCAGTTTCAGGTCGCGTCGGGTCGAAGCCTCCACCGAGGCCTTACCCGTACTCACCAGAAGCGCCTCGCTGCAAAACTCCAAGACTCCACCTGCTGTGGCTTGCTGTGGTGCGACTTGGGTCCAGGCCACACTCTTTGTGCAGTCGGCGAAGTCAGCTACCAGCGCATCGCAGTGCTGGACTGGATCGTTCAACGTTTGCTCAGAAAGGCCGCAACCTTCCGGCGGATCATGCGTTTCGCGCTGTTCCTACACAGCCTTTTCCCACTCCTTGCCCCAGCGTGCCTATTGGGATAAGGTGTGCATTCATCGATGTCAGCATGTCTCGAGATCGACTTCGTACCTCTCGCCTGCGCGATTGCTTGGCAGGCACGCCTGATCCCAATGCCGTGCGACAAGCCCAGCCAGTGGCACAAGCGCATCTGCAAAGCGTCGAAGAGTTCAGAGATGCACCTTGTGACCTGGGGAGAAACTTCGAAAGCCGGTCAGACATCCTCACTTTGAAAGACCCTGAGCTGAGGTCCGCCGTAATTTTGCAGTCGTAGATGTCATCAGCCGAACACATGCGTCCTGCATTGACCTGGCGGAAGGTAAGACTGGTCTTGGCACGACGAGTCCCAATTCGTCAGCACGGCCCCTGTTCGCCAGGCTACAGTCAATGCCTTGTCCTTGGTCGTCTCTACGTGAGGCGGAGCTCCCGGTTCGCCCAAACGGCTGAGGCAGAGTCAATGTTGGCCACACAGGTCGCACCTTGGAAGTTGCTTCCGCAAATACTGAAACCAAGTGTGATGCCAACATGGCGAGCCACGGGTTCTGGGCTTGCGATGGATCCCTTTGGTCGTCAAGTCTGCACCAGGAACCAACCTGCAGAACAGCGGTTGTGCTTTCCACACATGGGCCCGGCACATGCTACGATAGTTGCGACATGATACACACGCTGAGGCACGGCCTTTCAACGACTTTGCACAGCACGAGCCCGCTCTTCAGTTCCTCGAAGAAGTTGTCCTCGTCCACCATGGACCAACCTCCCAGTCGCAATTACGCCATGTCTACTCGCCTACAGGCATGCACTGCAGAATACAAAAGATCAAGCCTGGATCGTCCATGCAGAGACTGTTGATCCACTTTGTGAAGAACGGGACGCGTGTCCAACAGTGTCTGGCCGGGGTCACGACCTGAGCGTGAGACTTCAGCAGACCACACAGTGCGGTGCAGGAAACTCGGAGGCGGACTCCAAGCTTCTTCAAGGGGGAATCCTGCCGCTTCTGCCGGACAGTCGACCATGCCTGTGAGACCTGCGAGCAAAAGATCAGGGCAACTCTCTGGCGTTTTCAGGATACTTGCGACAGGCTCCAAGAGCAGCGCGGGAGATCCTGGCTCTGACAGGCCTCGCAGGCGGGAGCGCGGCTGGATGAGACCATGCTGCCATGACTGGATGGGGACCTGCAACTGCACCGTCGGAAAGAAGAGCCTGCTGGCTGCAGAACAGGCTCCAACAGCTCAGCCAGCAGATCATGAAGTGCCGGGCCTCTCCGATGCCTGCCACTGCTGGTATGTGTGTGTGTGTGTGTGCGTGTCTTTTGAATCTCCCGCTACCGACTCAAACAGGACCGAAACCTCCAAGTGGCGAGGCCTCATCTGCACAAAGTGCTCCATAGAACAACACTCTGAAACGAAGGCTGAGCCATCGACGACGGGACTTTGCATGCGAATGCGCGCGAGCGGCCAAGCATGCCAGCGGAACCCGGAGCTGTTGGGGAAGCAGAGCTGAGATGGGGTGGGCTGGGTGCACGGAGAGGCTGGGCATTTGCATCTTATGCTTTGGGAGCATTCCATTGTGTCTGGAGCCGCTCCGTCTTCGAGATTATCTGTCACGGTCAAAACCAGAAAGCCACAGGGGGAAGTTTCAGTCCGCAAACTACACTGTTCTTCTGGCTATGCGTTAAATGGGTTGGGCGTGTGTGACTACAGAGACAGCTGATGAGCAGACTATCGGAATTGCAGCACCCAGTCCAGTCGGCGGTCGAGGTCTCGAGACGTGTCAAACAACTGGGGGTCAGGTTGGACACTAACCACAGGCTAGTGCGCATTGACATCACAAAGTCCTTCGTTTGCGGGGGACTCTGTGAACTAGCGGAGGAGGGGTTGAAAGCGTTTGATGAGGATAAAATCTCAAAGAAAGTGGTCATGAAGGAGGTCGTCGATGTGCTCTTGGGCTCTCAGTTTGTAAGGAGTGAGGCAGCAAACTTGATGTACCAAGGCATTGAAGGTAGTGGCATGGGCTTACCAAAAAGTCCGGGTATTGCGGATTCAGCATACTACTTCCAGGCAGAAAAAGGAATGGTGGAGAAGGATGCCCTGGAAAGCGTTGGTATTGATCTGCTACACAAGTTTAGGGACGACACCCTTATTCTGGCGAGCTCGTACGACAAGTTCCTCACATGGTTCCAGAAGCTCAAGAGTAAAGCAGGGTTTTTCAAGCTACAATGCGAAAAAATCGTAAGATTCAGTGAGATGGAAGATGGAGAAGTACAATTCCTTCAGTTCCGCGTGCAGATGAATGCAAATCAAAGCGGTTGAGACTTATCCCTCACAGCAAAAATATTTCCATGCCCTTGGAAAGTACTTCAGCCCATGCCCCAGCAGTACACAAGTGGCCAAAAAAGCATGTGGAAGCCATGTGCAATCTGGCTACTGACCAGTCTGCGAGGCAAGGGGCTAAGAGTTCAATCATGGCAAAGTTCCGTCAACACCTTGCCCCAGAAGATGTGCTAGCGGAGATGATGGAAGTTGGCACTCAGAGTATCCCGCGGAAGGTTGGAAACTGCACTGTAAAGGTATTGTGGTTAACACTTTCGTGGCACCCTATATGGCAATTCGCTAGGTCCAGTAGAACTGTAAAACATTTTTGCGGACATAAAGTTCGGTACCTGCTGGATCAAGCTTTTCATAAGTGTTTGATGTCAGAGTATCTTGGAGAAACGGGTTGATGTACAGCTCCACTGTGGTGTCAAAGTTATAGCGCGAGTCTTTTCGCATGATTTGGAGATGGTTGGGGAAGGTGGGTGGAATCACCATCATCACCAGAGGCGAACCCTGTCCCATGAAAGCCCAGTTATGAAATGCTGTGCTGTAGTATTTTGCTCAGGTGGGGTGCGTTAAACCTCGCCCAGGTACTAGAAGTAGAGTATGGTGCACCATGGTTCTGAGCCATGATGGAAAAGAAGGCCTAGACAGGAATGCTGCAAATCCCAGTAGCTGGAGGATCTCTGCGCTCTCTGTGTCGTGTTGCCTTCACCGGCACTAACCCCATGCTGAGAACACGGAAATCCTCAAGCTCTTCACCAAGGCGGTTGAAAGGTGAACCTTCGCAAGCTGGAACTCGCGACAATGGCTTTCAGCAAGCACAGCGCATCACAGTACGATCCATCAAGACGCCAGGCTCCCTTTGAGAGGCCTTCAACTATTTAATTCAACTTGAAGGTGGGATTTGCACGTACAAAGCCCCATGCAACGCCAGAATCCCCTGCTACAAAAATTTGTCCTTACAGACTCAGCAGTGACTCAGCCACCTCCAGCTCCATACGGAGCGGGTAGATCTGCGCATGTCATTGCAAGATCGCGTGCTATGCCGGGGTGTCTTTGCCCGAGGTGCTGGAGAAACTTTTCAACGTCAGCCTCAAAGTCCTTGTGACGCCGATGTTCATGCAGAAAATTCGACCGCTGAAGCTCTGCGAACTGCTCCAGCTCGAATACCATGCTTTCTTGGCACTGCAGCTTCCGTCGAAGTTCGTCTGCAGCTTCTTGCTCCTCTGATAACATGAACCGAGCCACCTCCAGCTCAGTACGGAGCTTCTGTACGGGGCTCGGCTCCTCCCGAACACTGAGCTGCGTTGCGGCACGCTCCATGAGTGCTCGCAATAGATTCGTCTCGCTCTTTCGTGCGGCGCATGCCTCAATGCTCATCTTGTGCGCCCTCCCATCGTTTTCTTGCACCTGGCGATGCAACTCCTCTTTCTGCTGCTGCAGCGCAGCATGGGCCTTTTCCGGTTCCGTGCCCAGGTCCTCCAGCTCAGCTGTTTGCGAGTCGAGTTGTTCTTTCATATAGTGCTGTTGCCTTTCTCTCGTTCGTTTCTCATCCTTGAGTTGGGCTTGCAGCTCCTCACAGACTCTTTGGGAATGATGCAACATGTATCTGGTCTCTTCCAAAGAACTTTGCAACTGACTAACTTCTTCTTCTAGCGCGCTCTGCTTTCTTTCCATGTAGAGCCGGTTGGCAAGGAGAGCTTCAAAAAGTTCCGTCTCTGTTTTTTTCTGCGCAGCACTGCGCGAGTCTGACTTTGCGGGCTTGCTTGAGGACTCGTCTGGAACCTGTTCGAGAGCCAACACTCTCTGGCACTTCTTCGCTTTCGACTGCCGCTGCGGCTCGCAGAACCATTGCGACGCACCGGCGAGTTGTGTCCACATTGAGGCCATGCTCGCACGGTGGAGTGCTAAGTCTGTCACGACCCCAACCAACACATGAGCTCCGAAGCTTGGAATCCTCCTTCTTGGCACCTACACAGACAGTTAGAAGCCCTCCAAAGAGTGCGTGAAGTTCCAGTCACTCTGCGCCAAAGGCTCACGGAAAAGGTCGATACACTGTCTTATCCGAAACCCGCCTTGCACCAAGCAAGAAAGATTTCCTTTGAGGGCTCTGGAGGACAAGACCGAGGGTCGTCAACGTTGAGGCTGGATTCAACGCTTAGGGTTGAGAGTACGGTTCTCATGCTGCTCTTTCCGATAATCGAGTACACTGAGTACACCTTCCTTAGGACGAGTTTCCACAGGCGCTGCGCGATGGGTCTGTCGCAGTCGCGGCACAGACGCTGCATGGCTTTCACAGAATGACATATGTTTTGCCTCTGGCTGGTCAGCACTCTCAGCATGACGAGCTTGACTACACTTCGGCACGTGCTAATTGCACGTTGCCAAGCGCTTAAGCCTGCTTAGGCATCTTTGAGCGCCTCAGCGGTCCTGTCCTGGCTCGTCTCGCGTCACGAAGGCGATGTCGTGGAGATCCGCACAATAACAGAAGTCGGCATCAGCTTGCTTTCTTCATCGGCCTTCCCAAATGTAGCAGACATTAATGACATTAGTGATTCGCAGAATGATGCAGAATGCCAACTGTGAGCCGTGCTTTTTGAGAAAGGTCCGCCCCGAAGTTTTGAACTCCTGCCAGACCATATTGTGGCCATACTACCAGCAAGGACAGAAGCTACTCTGGATCTCGTCTTTCCTCTTCCGAATCCACCACGGCTTGTTGCTCAATGATCCTGGTCCGCAAGACGCTAGGCCCAGGGCTCATCTGCTGAGTCTGAACACGCTGGGCATCAAACTCCCCACGTTGAAGCAGGTTGGACAGCGCGACCTTTCCACGCCTGCAGGCCATAAACTGCAAATAATGCAACTGGGCACCCGCGAGCACCCGAGTGGTTTTCCCTGAGCGCCAGGACTTTCTCAGGGTCTGCGAATCCTCGTCGTTGAGGTTCATCCCCTATGAAGGCCCAAGCAGATCTTGACAATTCGATCATGTCAGATCCATGCGAGCCTCCACGAAGTCCTCCAAATCCTCTAGAATCTCGGCCATAACCGAGGCGCCTTGAACTCACCGCTTGCATGCTGTCCTGTCCTACTTGATAGAACTCGGTGCCGAGCCCATCTCCTCACACCACGCGTTGGCAGCAGGCAGGTGATCCTGCAACAGCAGCTTGCACGCACATAATTACACACACACACACACCGACACAAAATCACACTCTCACACACGCATGGCTTCTCACCACACTCTACCAGCGCCTTGCCTCAAGGCCCATCTGCTTGAGCCAGGTGCGAAGACCCGCCACGGCCTGCAAGAACTACGACAAGTGAAATTGTGCTTCGGAGGCTTCGGGTCAGCTGCTCAATACGGTCGCGACAGGCTCCGAGACCCGTTCCTCTCCGTCTTGCGGCCGAGGTCCCAAAGGCGATGCACGCTCGAAGCCTTGCAGTTGCTCTCAACTACTGCACTGTCACAGCGTACCATAGCGTACCGTACGGCTGCAACTCGTGCCGGCAGTGCCATAAGCAGGTCTGAAGGCTGGTTCTCCCACTTGCACTCGGGCTTGCGTGCGCGGTATGCCTCGGATTCACAAGACACAACACTCTCCAAGAGCACAGGGAGCTGCTTGTTGAGGCGGTCGCTTCGAGAAACGATCCCCTGGAGCCAAGCATTGATTCTGTCACTCACGCATCTGCGCATATCTGCGCGATCACTTGCAGAGGCTTGTTCGCTCTCTGGGGCTTCAGCAGCATTCAAGCAGCCAACCCATCCTGCCACACTCTCTGTGACACAGAATGCTTAAGATGTCACGGATCAGTGCCTGCTGACGGAACAAATCCGCATGTGACAATGGCGAAAGCCATCACCATGGACAGAAGAGCCGTCGCCTCAAATCATGAACGCAATGCTCTCAGGTGGTTCAACGGCCAGTTCGAGGGCTTTGCGCAACTCCGCAATCTGCAAGAAAGCCTCTGATCATGAGTCGCCCCAGCAATCGCGTGAAAAGGGCCCTGCCAGGTGATCGGCCTCCTTTGCTGCTTCAGCATCGACCTCGTAAGCCAGTGTCATTGTGTTTTAAAAGTGAGACCAGGAGATGCAAAAGCCAGTGGCTCAAGGCTCTCTACTCTTCGGTCTGGGACATGGACGTTGGGACCGTCATGATCAGATGCGAGTCCCAACAGCGACACGACAGCAGTTAGATCAGTTAGATCTATCTTGACAAGTGCCACTGCTGTCAGCGATGAATTTAGAACATCCTTGAAGAAAACTTGAGCAGAAAATCTCGACAGCGCATACAGACCTCTGTTTTGAGCAGGCCCATGCTTCCGAAGGCAGCAACCGCGCCCAGGTGCTCCACTTGACATGTCTCGCGTCCCGCGAGTAAAACAAATCACTCTCTGCACAGCTCGGAACCTTTCGTTCAGCATACTTCTGATGTAACTGCTTTGCCCTACACCCCAACCCCGTGCAAGGAAGCAAACTCCCAAGCAAGCCCAACATTTCAAGAGTACCTGCCAGGCCTTCAACCCGAAAACGCGCGAACCCAACACCCCAAGCCCATGTCCGCCCGGTTTCAATGACGTAAAGGCTACAATAGGCCTCAAGCATGCATATTGAGGTGTTCATAAGATAGTCATGGTCCAACAAGCATGGGGAAGGAAACGTCGTGCTCGAGCTTCTGAGGCCCATCAGCAGACATGATTTTTTCTGTCGCAAGTCTGAGGTCCTCTGATTGCCGGAGTCATGCACACCTCTCTATTGAATACGGATCACGTCCCCGCTGGACAAAAACTGTCTTTGAGGCCATGGAAGGCACACGACTCCTCATGGTATGTACAGGGCAAAAACTGAACATCCAGTGCGGCAAGGCACTGTGGTCGAGCTGATGCTGACCTCAGGAATGAAGGTAGTTAACCTGAAATGGGCACCACTGGCACCGTCACCAGACGAGCCGCTTGTGTCTCATTGTCTGTGTTAGTGACAGGTTTCGGCACTGGAGATGACTGGCTGAACGACTTCTTTTTTGTGGCTGAACCTTCGGCAAACATCTCCAGCACCACACATGGACGCGGAGTAGCACCCGGATTAACATTCAAAATTGAGGCCTTGCGCCAAGGTCACAGCCCGCTGTGGAGCATCAGATTTTGCAACTTGTTCTTCTTCTGGCTGGTGGGACTGCGAACGCCAGGCGCAATGCAAAAATGGTCGAGAGCACCAAGTAAACATTTGCAGCAGGGTTGGCCATGACTGCCCGCTAAGCTCTGGAAGAGGCACACCAGGCCAAACTCGTCGCAATTGCGAGAATTGGGCCTGTTGACCACCCACCTGTCTTGAACTCCGTGGAAAACATTGTGCTGGGATGCTTCTTTGTTCAAGTAGAAGGGCAACTGGGCCGGTGGGGTTTGCCTCAAGATTGAAAAGGGTCTTTTGAGAGTGTCGAGGACCGCAGGCTCTACCTGCTGCCTCGAGAAAAGGCGTTGCTTCTTTGCACCAAACTGCCAGGATCCCCCCTCCTCGGCAAGCTCCCCATAATTGGGAGTGTCGGAAGCTCAGATCGAGTAGGGCTCAAAGATGGACGGCCAGAGAACCCTTGCTCCACTCTTGCAGGCCCAGGAAATCAAGCATACTCCGCGAGGTCTAGGCTAGTCAGCGCAGCCTGTGGCGAAGGATGTGGCAAAGCAGGATCGGACCAGCCCCGCCTGCCTTCGGTGCCCAAAGCTGCATGCCTGACACCTCAAAAACGCCATTTTAAAGTGAGTGGGGTTAGAGTACTGCTTCCCATTTACAGAGCAGCGCACTTGCCCCACCAAGCTCCGCGGCTGTACTCTTCAAATGCGACATGCCTGAATTCTAAGCCCCAGCTGCAAGGCAGAATCTGCTGGCAGGGCCACGCTTGCGCAAAGTCTTGGACAATGGCAGCCCAAGCAGCTGGTGCAAGACAGTCAGCTCTTAAAGCCTTGACTGTCATCGAACTACTTGGGCAGGTCAGATCGCCAGGCGAGACATGTCCGGAATGACCTGAACAGGATCAAAGGCCAGGCAAGGCCCCAGCAAGAAGATGCCGAAGTGTCAGCATAGGTACTTTCAGCCGAAGCCTTACAGTCTGGCCTTCTAAGCAATGCACCATTACAACTTGAGGAGAACGGTGTGTCAGTGCACTGACTTTGCCGGGCTTCCCCAAGCGGTTGCATTGCGCCTCTTGATGGATTCGTACATTGGATCCGTGCAGACCATGCCTTCTCCATCTCCACCAAAGTTATCAGCAGGTCGTGCCGGCTCCAGTTCTCTGCGACATCTGTGCCGTCCTTAAACAATGGACAAAACAACCTAAACTATTGACCGTGACACGCATTGCAAAATCTCTCTTGCCAGAACGAGTCGCAAGTCCAAGCTCTTGACGGAGCTCATCGCGTGAAAGTGCAGACAGCTCCTAAGACGTGCATTTGGGTTTTCCAGAAACGCAGCCCACTGGCAAGGTTGAAGGTGCGCAACAGGTGGGGGCCCGGTGGGGAGAAGACTTAGTTCAGATCAACAATTCGTTTCGCATGTTGTCTTTACACTGCCGTTGAGACTAAAGGTGTGCACACCAGGGCAGGAGACTCCTTTCTCAAACACACCGCTTTTGTGTGCAGGCCTAAGAGGATGCGGGCCCAAGATGCCTTCTCCCTTTCCAGCTGCCACAGAAAATCTCGGTTCGGTGGGGACACCGCTGCAGATGTGCAAGGCCTCAGGGACCAACATCTCAACCTGCAACGCAGCTTCGGTATGCCGCTAGGCTACATGCTGCAAGTTGGAGAAGGTGGCGCTGTGGATGCAGTGGAGGACCTTAGAAGTGCCGGCGACGTAACAGCAACTGAAACATAGTGAAACAATCCTCATTGTCATAGAACTGGGAACCACAGACTACGGATGTTCCCCTGTCATACGGATCAATGAAAGCTTGTGTACTTGAAGCATCCTCCAGAGAATGAAGAATACTTACACAGATGCTGGAGGTCACTCGCTGCTGCTCCCACGGCTGCAACTCTGCATCGGTGCCATTGTCCGGCAAAAAACAGGGTTTGAGGTTTAGTTTGGGGCTTCGGGGTTTGGGGCAATGACGACGACGACCACGACGCTGCTGGCGCTGCTGGCGCTGCTGGCGCTGCTGGTGCTGCTGGTGCTGCTGGTGCTGCTGGTGCTGCTGGTGCTGCCCGCATCATACTGTTCGGCGCGCAGTACCCCAGCAGCAAGCCAAATCGCTTCGTCGGCGATCCTAGAGTCACCGGCACACTTCGACGTGAAAAGTTCCTTTTGCACATGGGGGTTCAAACAGCCCCAGCTGTGCCAGCTGGGGCTCTCCGAACGGGCCCAACGGGGGTCGTAGCAGCCTTAGCAGAAACGAGGTCCCTGTCATGCTCCTTATGCTGACTCCATGGGGCCACAAAGATGACATGATGCTGATGCTGATCATGCTGGCCCCTGGATGCGGAAAGGAGAAGGTTTCACTGGGAGTCGTCCCAATGATGCTCATGATGGTCATTTCGATGGGGCAGGAACGGGGCGTGCCGGACTCAACCACTACCTCCTGCCTGCCCCTAGCCCCGAAATTGTACCTTATGGACTTCAAGAAGGCTGTCCCCCACCTGCCTCGCCTCCCTTTACCCCCGGCAAGCCAGAATCAGCAACTCAGCTTCCATAAACGGATATTTGGCCATGCCTGGCCTGCAGTACCTCAGCACATTAAACAGACAAGCGTCGGCAGGTCTTGCATCTTCTTCGCATCCAATGCCTGCAAGCTGCATAAAACTACCGTCATTGAGCGAAGCGTTCAAGAGCAGAGTAGGTCGGGAAACTTGCGCAAGCGAGTGGTGTGTTGCATTCGCGTAAATGACTTCGGAGGATGGGATCGCCACCGCGATGTAAAAACGCCAACAGTCGCTGGGATTAGACCTGTTACGGTCAGTTTTCCGCGACTCGCAAGTTTTCCACATGCGGGGCAACTTCGCGTCTCAAGCATCTCGACAGCAGTTGGCGCACAGTGGTCATCTGCATGATTGTTTTTGTTTTCGCGGGACAGGCGCGGACACAGTTCGCACCTGAACAGAACCAGGTACCTGGCCGCGGGGGTCATGACGGCTCAGGTCCTGGATCATACATTTGTTGCAGCCTCTGCCACAAATCTTACCCTGCTTGTTAGAATGGAGAACTGCTACTTACCTGATGTTCAATGCGTGGGCCCAAGAAAATCTGCAGATAACATCTTGTCATACTTGCCGCAGACTAAGCCGCATTCGGCTGCCGACTGTCCAGCTGGGGTGCATCTGTCAGAATGTCATCGTCGTCTGGGGTTATCCATATGGGCGAGCTCATCAACAAAAGCACCTCGGTGCTTTCTTACACTGGTCCCATCAAAGCTCCTGTTTGCGACACTTTGCCGTGAAGCACTCTGTTCCTCTGGCAGCTGAGTCACATCATCTTCCGGGAGCCTCAGCTTTCAAGACTTAGAAAGAACAGCCGCTGAGCGGAAGCAGCGGCCGGGCTGAGACCCGATTCTGTCCAGGGCACATCTCTGTGTCACTATCCAGGGACTCTGGCGGTGTCTGGAGCTCTGGAGGAGTCAATGGAGATGCGATGAGCATGTCCTGCCGAGAATCTTTGAAACACAGCGCCTGGTTCAAAGCGAGGCCAGCATCGGACACCCGGTAAAGGACCCTGCCATACCCTGCCTGATCATCAGAGTTGTTAACAGCTCTGCCTGCCAGCAGCACGAAGCCAGCGCAACAAGAGACGATCGTAAGATGAAGACATGTGGTGCAAGGGTAATTTCCTGGATATACCAAGCCCAACCCAAGGATTGTTAGGTTTTTATGGCCGTGTCCGGAAGTCGCCGTCGCAGGCGCCGGCCCGGGCCGCGGGCCGCAGACCGGACGCGAACCAGAAAAGGTGGCTCCGGAGTCCAAAAAGATGCTGGCAAACCCATTCAGACTCCGAACGGAAGATGGGAAAGCGCAAACCCTGACAGAAGATGCTGCTTGGCAATACTGCAAAGCTAAAAGGAGATGGTGGTGCCAAACCCCAAAAAGGAGATGTTGTGTTGTTGCTTGGCAAACCCCAAAAAGGAGATGTTGCTTGGCGAACCCCATACTCCAAAAGAGATTTTGGTTGGCAATCCCAAAGATGCTGCTGGGAAACACCAGATATTTCGAAGCAGATGCTGGTTGGCAAGCCCGTAAACCCTCAACGGAGGCGCTAACCCCCACAAGAGGATGCACATGCTGCACCCTCAAAGCAGACTCTAAACCCAAAAGGTACTGTTGGTTGGATAGCCCGAAACGCATAAGATGATATTGCCTGGAAACCCAAACTCGTGAAGGAGACTTTGGCTGGACAACCCAAAACCCGAAAAGGAAAAGAGGATGTCGGTTGGCAAACCCAAACGCTTGGCGCTACAACGTTGGCAGAACCCGCAGACCCACAAAAAAGATGTTGGTTGGAGAACTCTAATTCTACGAGGAGACGCTAGCTGGCAATTACTTGATATCTAACTATTGGCCAATACTGACTTAAATAGCTGTATTGCTATGACATCTTAACATATATAACATGTATTTCGTGTTTAAGAAATGCTGTTGTCATTCCGTTCTTCTATAAAATTAACAGGCAAACCATCGCTATATGCTTGAAGTGTCACACTACTACCGTATGTTCAATAATATTTTTTCAGGCAACTAATGTGGAACGCACATGTAGTTGAAACCAGGGAAGACCATTTGTATGTGGTTGATATTGCACCGATCGTCGGAGACTATTAAGTCCAATGCAAAAAGCATTGGTGTGACAGCTAGTCCGACTAGTCCGATACCTTAATCCGGTTGAACATCTATTTCACGAAAACTGATCGTTATGCAAGCACCTAACCTTGAGGTTGTATAGTTTTATGTCTTATGTTCCCCCTCTCAAGCAGTAGACGATGTTCGCCTCCTTTTCTAGTTACCGTTATCTCTTATGTACTGAAATAAACGATACTCAACATGCCAGAAATGAAGAAAACACTTGACTATTACGTCTTTCGTGTTCCATGTCTCCAAAGACAGTAGACCTAAGAGTTAATTCATATTTTTATGACATGGTCAAACATGTAAATCAATATTTGTTAGTTTTATAGCAGGCTCAGTGAACATTGGTGAGATAGTAAGTCCTCTTCTGCTACATGAGGACTGATTGATTAGGTATCGATTTGGCTGTGGGTTATGTTGTAATACGTCGTGGTTCAAAACGCACAACACGTACTAAAGATGTACTGGGTGTGTGGCTGATTTGAATGTATAGTGACATAGTGTCCGAGCATATAGTGACTACTAGTCAAGTAGCAACTAACATTCTTACCAACGTACCAACATCATAGGCTATGCAGATTATTTGTTGGTTGCGACATACGTAGATGTATATGTAAACATGTTGAATGATTCTGCTACAACTGAGAACCTGTAGACAAAGCACAAGTATTTACACATGAAAGACAATCGCTAAGTTATCGTTCGATAACAATTGGTTGCTTAATCCAACAGAAAAGTAGGTAAATACATTGAGAATATTTCTGAGCATCAGATATTGGCTTTCGACTAATGCTTAACGAAAATTGGGCACTTTGCGATTTGTTAAGACCTTGCGATGCGTTGGCTAGATTTCCGAAGCATTGACTACAATATTCTCACCTATTATAATCTGTCCTCTGCAAAATTTTGGAGAAAGTTGGCAGAAACCTCCAACTCTCTGTGGGCAAACAGCTCCGCGCGGGAAACAACGACTAGGATGTGGGCAGGTATTAGCAGGATAACCCCAAAACAAAAAAACACCTAAAAAACCAACAAAAATAAAAACAAAAAACAAAAAAAAATCCAGTAGACTAGTCCCCCAGATGTTTGGTTTTTGGTTTTTGGTACTTTTTGGTGTTTTTTTTTTGTTTGTTTTGTTTTTTGTTTTTTTGGCTTTGGTGTTGTAAAACAATGCTGCTGTTCTCATACGGGCTGGCGTGCAAGGATTATAGGACAGCACGAGTTCCGTGACACGTAGAACAGAGACTCGGGGGCCTACCTGGTTTCCCTCTCTGAAAGGAAAACGGTATTTGGGCAAACCCGCTCCAAATCCAGGCCCTGCAGTGGAAGACGATGTGGGCTGGAAAGCCCCAAACCCTAAAAGATTACGATTCTTGGTTGGCAAACTCCAAAAAACCTTAGTAAGACAATAACAAGATGTCGGCTCGCAAGCTCCAAACCCGAACTAACCCTAGGCCCCCCGAACCCTAGAAAAGAGTATGGCTGGCAAGCCTCCAACCACGCACAGAAAGAAGACCCACACCGTGAAAGAAGACGTCGGCTCGCATGACCCAAACCCTAAAATCTTGTGATGTCGTCTCACAAACCCTGAACCCTAAACGACGATGTTGGCAAATCCACAACAATTTTTTTTTTCTAAACTTAGAAGGGAACCCCAAGCCCTGAAGGCAGGTGTTGCTTGGCAAACCCACATGCCTTGAAACGAAATGCGACTTGGCAAAGGTTGGCAAACCCCACCACCGCGCGTAAATGATACTCTGTGCAACCCAAAACTTTGGCTCTGAGTCAGACGAGGTGTCTGGGTGGCTGGACAAAAGTGAAGCACAAATCGACACATCTTGTCATGCTGAGTCTGCCTTGATGGCTGGAGTTGTCACGCTCCAAATCGATGATCGCCCGCTTGACCATGTAGTCAAAGTCAAATCTGTTTCTGTGCGGATACACACCCACCAACCCTATGTTCAGCCAAGAATGCTTCATCAGAGACACATCTTGATGCACCGTGGTAGCGTCACCCGTAACTGAAACAAAGCGTGACAATGCCGTGGCTCTTTGGAGAGATGCGCTCAACATCGTTCAACTTTTCAAAGCTCAATCGATTCAGAGTGGGCAGCAGCTTGCACACTCCATGTGAAACGACATGCTGGAACACTTTGGACTCCCTCCTGAGTCATAAACCCACAATCACATTTCTTGGCGAAGATGCCGTGACTCCAGTCCAGCTATGTAATGGGTACCAATTTGGATCATCAAGCGCTGCCTCGTTTTCTTGCCGCACTGCACGGTGGCACAACAAAAGATTCCGCACTAAAAGTCCCACACCAGAAACTGATTGCAATCCCGAGCTCACGAGGAATGCGCCCAAGCAAAAGCGGGGTGCCTGTACGCATCCTGTGACATTGGGACCTCAATCAAGAGCTTGTGGGCATTAGCTGTTCATCTCCAATCCAAGCGACTCCGTGCATTCATTGTTCACTCTTGCTCGTCGGACAACTGGGAAACTGCACATTGTCGAATGTCTCGCAGCTCTGCCACAAAGGTCAGCAAGCGGTCGGCATTCTCTCTGCCAGGAATGAATGCAGATGCCTCAAGCTGAAACAAGACACAATGAAAATGCCGAAGATGACGGCAGAGCATAAACTACACAAGACAAGTGTCGAACTCTTCCTGTGCATGAGGCCCACCGAAGACAGCAGGATCATGATTGGCCATCAGCGCGATCGTAGAACCATAAGTTCCTGTATTCAACTCTGTGGCGGCTGACGTCTACACTCATGATCGGCGTTTTTTTCCTGAGCTATACAATCTCCGAATCTTCTTTTCCAACAGCTTGCCGGAAAGGCTTCCGTGCACAAAGTCACCGTTGGGACGATCTTGGGAGTTCGTGTATAGCGAACGAGTTGCAACGAGCGGATTGCGTAGAGTTGTGCATCTTATTGTTTGGTATGTCTTGTGCAGGAATCTATTGCACATTTCGCGCCATCGTCCTTGGTTGATGTTCCTTCACTGCCGGACTCGTCCCTTTGATCTGCCTGCTTGTCTTGGGCTCATTCTCCAAATTCGGCCTTTCCTGCTCCGAAACTTATTCTCCGCCTGATGATCGCTGGTGAGCTTGGGACGGGTTGGGTTTACGCCCCTCTTTTCAAGTTGATTGTCACCCATCGATAGCGAGTCGGAGCCTGAAGCTTAAGCTTTCGAGCATGCGTAGTACATCTTCTGGCGAAAGGGTGTTTCGACTCGACCACATGTACTGTGCATACTAGGTTCAGTCTTCGATTCTGCGAATATGTTCACTATCTGTTGCTTCATTATGCGTATGTCTTGGGACGAACATTAATATAAATCCTAGGGAGTGCTCGGCCCGTGTACTGATTGGCGATGTGAGGTTTGGCGAGCCCGCTTCTCCCGATTTCTCATAAAAGCTGGCATCTGGAGATCCGCTACCTGGCGCTGGGGGTCTTCGCTGTTTCTGGAGTTTGCACCAATACCACGACCACGGCCAAAAACATGAAGACTCGAACCCGCGCAGGAAGCTCCCGGAAGAGTCGCGACACGGAACTGAGTGAGGAAAAGCAAGAAAGAGAAGCAAAGAGCAAAGACGCGATCTCAACCGTGTGACAAAGCCATGCTGTCTTCGCAGCGAAAAGAGGACCTCACGATGCACTTCACCTTCTGTACACCTTCTACGGGAACCACGTTGATTCGTAAGTTTGCACTACAGGCATCTAGCTGAGACTGTGTGTCGCATCGGGCTTGCCAATGTGACCGTGGAAAGCCTTCGTGCAGACTGTGCCTGCATCCTGATGGGGTTTCAGGGACACAGGTCGTCGGAGCAAGGCAGGGAGGGACTCGCTGAAAGCCTGGCGTTTCCCGGATGTTCTATCTTGGGGCTTGGGGGAGGAAGCCGCAATGTCGCGCATGCTTTCTACACGCTACATACCCCACTTCGACTGAGACATCGAAGTCTTGCCGTTCAGCTTCCTGCTTTTTCCTCGACAGTGAAGCCGGTGCCGAGGGTGTGCGTCCTCGGCGCATTGTGAAATCATCATAAATGGTATGGTGTGAAAAACTGTGCACAGTCAGACTGCAGACAGAGCTCGTGGTTTCTTCTGTTATCCAGGGATTCACACCTGCTCCACCACCCCCCTGTGTTCTGAGCACCTGCAGGACATGCGCAGTCCACAGGGCAAGCAGAGTCTCTACGGCACCCAGTGAGAGCCTCCAAGACGAAAGCGCCCGGATTACGCTTGAAGAGTGGAATGTTGGTTTCCGGTGCTCTTTGCAGAAGCCTGTCGCAAAACACGACTGCGACACGTTCTGATGCACCGAAAACTCTCGGGTGCCTGAGGAGCTTGAAGGTCGCCAGGGCACCTGCCAGCACAATTTACAGCAGGGTCAACACCACCCAAGAGCCGTTTGGCAGTTGGCAGGAACACCACAAAAACTGTCCTCCAGGTCCGTCTCCGCCGAAGCCGGCAAAGGACAGCTCGAACAGTGTCTTGCGCAAGCGCTCGCGCCCATTCATGCCTCCACCGTCGATGCAAGGACCCCTGGAAACCGGCAGGTAAAGGATCGTCAGGTGTTGCAAAGCGCGCGCCTCTCCTCTCAGCTTCCTCCATGAGCTGCTGGCCGATCTTGCCACTGGCCATCTTCTCTTCCAAGACCTGACGAAAGATGGCGTGAAAGCTCGTGTCTTTTTTGCAAACTCTCGTGCGCGATCTCCAGCCTTGGCGAGCTGTGCACACTGGGCACCACCTGCTGCCGAGCCCATGCCGAAGATTGTCCGGAAGTGCACCTTCAGCTGGCAACTGAGAATGATCAAACGACCCACACCTCCAATCAAGCACTCAGGCTCCGGCACGAAGCCACTCTTTCAGCGTGTGAATCTCGTCCTGACTTGCTATCTCCATACCCGGTGGAATCAACACCAAACAAGCGATGTTCCATAATACCTTGCTCAAGGGCAAGCGACACTGGTAAGGTCGACCTCGAAGGTATGCCTCAAGGGCCAAGGCATCTGTAGCGACGATTGCAGAGACTTGGCTAAGCTGGCCGCCAGCTGGCCTGAAGAAGTTGAATGCGAACACATCCTGCACCTTGCTGGGAACCATTTTGGGAAACGGAAAGATGAGGTGCCTCGGATGCAAGTGCTTGGCCATGGTGGCTCGGGAAGCACAAATATCTGACACATGTGTGAGTCAGGGTTCGTTGAGACTTCTTGTATCAGATCATTCGCAGAAATTCCAGGAGCTGGCTTGAAGTCCTCACACACACATCCCACCAGCGGGAACCCGGCAAACGTGACGACAGACGGCGTGTCCGGGACCACGTCCGGGTTTTCGGCCAGTGCTGGCATCACGGCAGATAGGAGGTCTCCTTGGCTGCCCAGCGAGAAGCATAGAACCTTGTAGATCGTCAGCGCTGCCACCAACTCTTTGCAAACGAAGACTCTGTGCGCGTAGCGGCTATCAGAATCTGTGTTCAGCCTTGGGTTCAGCGGACCTCCCTGAAGTGCCGTTGTCTTTCGCCCCCATTCCGTGCTCAAGTTGCTGGAGTAGAGTTGGGAGAACTCCAGGGAGGAAATAGCCTCCGATGGATGTACGTAAGGTGCAACATCGAGAAAAACAAGGAAAGCAGACAGAGACCTGGGCCTTCTGGAACCTTCGAAGTGTCAACTGTCACGAACACGCTGCTGTCCCTTTTCAGCTTCCTGAGCACTGCAAGACTCGCTGAAGTCTTTGCCTGCGCTGGGGGCTGTTCACCCTCGAACTCATCCAACTGAATACACCGTCAAGGAACGGATTGTAGTGCACCGCTCTCGCAGAGGCATGGCTGAGGCGCGAAACCATGTAGCTGGTCGCAGGCGCAGTAGTGCTGGGAACTCGGTGAGATGCAATAATCTCTGACTGCTGCAGACTTGCGTGCAAGCAACCGAACCTGGAAACACTGAGTCTTGGACATAGACCAACTCCAGTTTTGTGGGCATCAACAGCATATGCCAGCAATGGATTCCATACGGGACCAACGGCAATTCCACCTCCTGTCAGCTGACAAGCTCTCAGCAGCAGACCCTCCTCGCCGCAGCAAACGGCCGTGCTTACAGAAATCATAAAAAAGCTTTCATGGCAGCAGAACGGTCCGACTTTCCAGATGTGTCTGGCTTGGCCCGCGATCTGCAAAAAATGTCTGGCTATCGGAACAGGGACCACGTAGGTGTCCACTGCGCGGATGTAAGCACCTTCAGGGGCGCTGCCTACCAAAACTGAAAGCTAACGGGCTCCTGTACGGAACAGCAAACATGCGGAGGACTCAGCACTGAAGCCAGGTCTGGGCACGCTCTGCTCCAGGAAGACATAAGCAGCCAAAAAACACCGCCGGAATGACCAGGAGCAAAATGAGACATACACGGCAACAGCCCATCTCGAGCTAACAACCGTTGGGGTGCTGGTGAAACCGTGAGCTAGCAACGGCAGGAAAGAGTCTATGGCCACCTACAGTCTCATGATGACAGGGAGGTACATACAAAATCAGATGCAATCAAATGCTTCTCCACTAGAGCTGCTTTCTTCATCAACTCGCCTGAGGCTTGAGCATCAGGCGAATCACTAGCCCATTCGGCACGGTGCGAATTACCGATGCATCGCTTGGCACCTTCGCACGAGCCAATCAATCAATCCTGGGATGTTTTGCGACACGCGGCATCAGGTGCAGCCCTGGGCTCTCACTCAGCTGTAGAAGCTGCGCCATCAGTGACAGCATGTCGACAGACGTGGGAGCCATCATCTGCTTCGGCTTCTACTTCTGCTTCGCGCACTTCCTTGGGCTCCTTGATCTGCCCCTACGGCCATGCCCGGAATCATCATGGGCATCATTGGCATGACACCGGGCATCATGGGCATGACACCAGGCATGAGGCCGGGAGGCATCATCATCGGCGGCATCATCATCCCAGGCATCATCATCCCAGGCATCATTCCTGGCATCAGCATGCCAGCCGCTGCCTCCTCCGATGCTTCGGGGTCGGCCTGGCTTGCCTCTCCGTCGGGCGTAACCTCCACTTGAGGTGTTGTTTCTCTCTTCTCGGCGAAGCGGCATTCCTGGCAGCCATGACATTCCATATGAAGCACACCCTTAACACCAACAAACCACATGGCGGAGACACCTACCACACGACTTGAGACTCGAGCCCTGAAAGTCGTGAGGAAAAACCTCGAGGACACAGGAGAAAAGAGTACAAGCTGCCCCGTCCTCGATGAACGAGTCCGTTAGACGCTTCAGTCTGTCGATGGCGAGAATCTTCCCGTCAGGATTAAGAGTCAAGCAGTCTTTAAGCTCCACATAAGATTCCTTGTCCTCGCTGCCCACTCTCTTGTCCACGATCTTGCCCTCATACTCAATAAATGTGTCATGGCCAAGCTTGTACTTGATGATGACATAACTGCCAAGCCTCAGCAGACAGGCATGTGCAACATCGGAAAGCTCTTGATGCTCAGGGCCATTGAAATCCAAAGTCGACGATCGCTTCCGCCCTGGCGGCCCTGCATATCCTCTTGCGAACAAGTAGCTTGAAACCCTTTGTCACGAAACGTTTTTTGCCCCTGCCAGCTGGTCCAAACGTTTTGGTATAGCCTTGATGACCACCCAACGGCCCAGACATCGTTTGGCTTATGCGCTCACTGTTTCCTTGACGTAATTTGGGCTTGGTTTTGTCGATGCAAGAGCTATCTGCCTCCAATCTCCTCTTTAGGTGGAGTTACAAGAATGACCAACCACTGCACAAGCTTGAATCCTGAACTCATGTGCACTATGCTGGGAGCCACGACATAATGGTTTGCACAGATAATCCCTCACAGGCTTCAAAGTCTGCAGCCTTCGGCGATGACCTTGCTGCAAAGCCGTAATGAAAGTGTCATCCCACAGGCCCAGGACTAGACATCATGCAGCATTGAATGCTTTGGTATCCTGGGGCATCATGTCGCATGTTCCGGACAAAAGGATAACATCTGAGTTGGGGCATGCGGAATGGGTACCTTGCAGGAACATTTCGCGACACAAATTCGCGCTCCAAGATGGAATTGGTTTGTGGTCGGGTTCTCAAAGCAGTCGTGCACCTCACGTCACGGCACATGCCCACACAGCTTTTCTTGCTCTGGTGGCAAAGGACGATCGTTGGCTCGCAGGACTTTGCGCTTTGTTCCTGCTCTGACTACATCAGCTTTGTGCTGGAATCTCTGGCTTCCGGTCCCGTCTTGGGACTTGACAAGCCTGATCATCTGCGCGGTGTGCGCACGGCATACTGCCTTGGTTGTCTGAAGCCTCTTGATACACGGCACATGCCATCCCATCTGCAACAGGCAAGCCAAGGTTCACCTGTCGAGCCGGTGTGGCTCGATCGATCGTGCGGGGAGTCGTGCCTGTCGGGATTCCCTTCAAGAGCTCTTGACACTTTGTGAGCCTGCTTCACAACGCTTCAGATGTCACCTGCCGGTGGTCGGGAAGGCACCCTTCGTGGCGTCATGCATCGTCCAGGATGCACTGCCTGCAGGAGCGGCCCGTGTAAACACCGACCGAATTTGTAGTGGACACTGAGTGCGGGAATGAGCTGCGTTCCTAACGGAACAATATCTTATTCTAAATGGGGTACTCTGAAGGCGTTGAAGTGGCGGCCGCTTCAAAGAGCTACGACGCCACAGCCTCCTGAGGAGACACGAGGATGAAGCGGGAGCCCACCTCAGAAGTGTCGAGAAGCTCGGGCAGTCATGGAAGCTGAGGCGGGTCCGACCTGCGGAGGAACCCCTCGCGCAGTCCAAGGCCTTGGCCATTCAGCGTTCAGTGCAGGTAGGTACGTGTGTGTGTGTGTGTGTCCCGGGTCTGTAGCATCCGAACATCCATCAATGAGAGGCTCGGGCTGTTGAGATGGCTGCACATCGCCCCTGCTGAAACTCTCTGACACGCAAAGCCCCGGGAAAATGTCTTAATTACTTGCTCTGGCGCCTGGGTGTCCTTGCAAAACCAGGACAGGGACCAGCTGCGCCTGCCCAAAATCGAGGTAGCCCGAAAGGCCCAGAATGCGTGGTTTCACCAGCACTCGAAGACCTGCCAGGGGGCTTGCACATCGAGTCCTGGCAGAGCTTTGCGGGGGATGTGGCCCGCTTGGATCATTCGCTGAAGCCACGCCTAACCGGTGGCACCGGCGAGCTTGTGCGCCTCACGCATACTGTCATACTGTCCATCTGATGTTACAGACTGCACCTTGCGAACGTGGCTGAGGAGCCGGCAAAGGAGCGACCATTGGGCTCCCTGGTGCAGGTGCGACAACACCGGGGCCCACAACAGCACCTCCGCGCACATGAAGCAGCATACGTCAATAAAAGCTGCTGTCGGCCTGAGCTCACCACCCTGCACTGGGTGAGGATGCAGAACCGTGCCTGGACTTGGCATCCGCGCTGCTGAGCCTGCGAGCATCATCCATATACCAGATAGAAACCTTACAGGCTGCGTTCTCTGAGACCGCGAGTCGGGAAGCAACTATCAAATCAATTGACCTTGCTCCTGCAGTTAAGCATGCGGTCCGGGCACCGGAACATACTGATTCCAATCTTCAACTTGGATGGAGAAAACAAAGAAGGCAAGATAGGGTAGAGGAGGACAGGTTGAACTGATGTTTGTAGCATGGGTGGTCTGATGGCAAGCGAGCCCCGAACTTTGACAAGAACGGCCACCTCAACACGAATGACGGGAGGTAAACTCTGACGCGAAGCCAAGCAAAGCAACAACAAACGATTGCCAAACCATGAAAGCTATTTAAGAAGTGAGAGCAGGAAGCAAACCTTACCGTACACTCTGCGAAGCAATAGAGACCCGTAGACCCCCCCAAAAGCCCAAAGCAACATTGTGCTGGCCGGGCCTAGAGAGCCTGCCCGGACATCCGCTGAACTCAGTGCATACCTCGTCCGGACGAAGACTTTGGGACCCTGTCCCAGACTCAACTCCGAGGTTCTGGCCGCGGTGGACCGCTTCCCAGCAAAGTGAAGCCAGGCCGCTGCACTGCCTGCACTGCCTGCACTGCCTGCACTGCACGCCACCCAGCTGGAGCTGACCTGAAATCACGAGTCCTAAGAAGATTCTGCTCGGATCTGCTGGGAAGCCGGACGCTAGTCGTTGAAGCCGCTGTGGCTGCATGCCCTGCGGCTGGACCTAGCAACGGGAGCACTGCAACAGCTCTCTCTTTGTCAACCTGTCTGGACGTCTAGTGCAGCTGTGAGGCATTGGTCGTGCTGATATGTCCATGCCAGGGCGTAATGACCTCCCCATGACCACATCCACATACACACACGAAGGGCACGAGTCTGCTCTGAGATGGTCTGAGTGCGTTTCAGGTGCCGGGGAGAGCTGCCGCGGCCCAAGGGAGTGCTGGCCTCTGCAGGCACCAGCTCCGGCTGGCTGCATAGCATAGCACAGCATGGCATAGCCGGCCCTCCTCTCTCTGTGCTCCAAGCACCGTACTTTGCACCCGACTTTGGTACACCGCAGCTTCAGCGCCACCTGTGCCGAGGTCCCGACGTCGTTGCTTGCGTGCACGGATCCTCTTTCAATCCAGGCCTCTAGTGGAGAGCTCTGGCGGTAAAGCCTTCAAGCAGACAGAATAGCTCACTTCTCAAGAACAATTGAGAAGCTTCAGTTGCCTTGTCAAACCCGATTGGTTTTGCACCTTACACATGCAACGAAAATATGCGCAGGTGCCGACATTCGGTCCGAGTCGTGGACCAGTGGCTTGCATGCTGTCGGACCTCTCCTTATATCATCCAGGAAACCCTCTCGGCCAGTGCGTATCTAAACATGGCATACAAGGAAAAGCAGAGATGGCTGCAAAATCTTTGCTGCTTTACAGACTTGTCCATGTTTTGTCTTCCGTCTTTCTGAAATCTTGGTTAGTGTGCAAGCCCCTGCACATGTCAATTTGACAGGTGCTCTTGGCTGCGTGTGTTCGTACTTCCTATACAGTGTGCGTGGTACCTCGTACAGGTAAAGTCATTTCAACCATGCTCCAGATCCGATTTGTTTGCCGCCCTGGAGGGGTTGCAGCCAATCAACGCAAGCTGGCCGCTCAAGTATCCGGTCGAAAACCCTCCACGCGGGAAGCAGGCAAGCACACCCGTTCGTCAGAACTCCATACCGACAAGGTTATTGGCCTTGTCAGCTTTCGTTGCGGTCGCGAAAGTCGAAACAACTTCGGGCAGTGGGCGCAGCTCACAGCGACTGCTGAGTAACGCACTTGAGCCTGTAAATTGGTGAGGTGAGAGTTCAAGTCATCTAAGCCTGCCATAAAGGCGGAAATGCAGCTGGCCGAACTTGCAGAAGACCCAGCCTTTCAACTTTTTGTTGATTTCTGAATCGATCAACCTGAGTATGCACTAAATAAACATGACAGCAAGCATGGTCGGCAGGAGTTGAGTCTTTCGGCTGGGCCAGCAACACAAGATGATCAGAAAGCCGCTTCAGCGCGGAAGCTTTATCCCAGCCTGACGGGGCGGCACAGTGTCAAACTAATGTATGCATGCTCGCATGTCGTCGCACAAAGCCTTGAGGCAAGGCCGTGGGAACAGTGGCTGATCCTGGCATTGTGCCAGTTTCAGGTTCGCTGGCATACACTGGCAGAAACAGTCCAAGCACACCAAGTGCATCCAGGAGCTGATGCAATGCCTGAAAAACACAGCTTGATCAACGAAAGTGCTTGTGATAAGCAACAGTCTTCGGCATAGCCTTGTCATCATGTTCTGGTATGACCAACTCCTTTCTTGAGAGCACGGAAAGCTGATCCGCATTACCTGTGTGGACTTCTCAGCTTGGGGCTATTACTTGTGATTTGCCTTCGCCGTCATCCAGTGGCCTGCAGTCAGAGGACAGCCCCTTTGCTCCTGGACTGTAAAAGTGCATGTCTGAAACCGTCTCGGCACTGGGCGCCATGTTGCCAGAGCAAACCACCGAAATTACTCACGTCAGGCTCGGAGCAGCGGCTGCACCATTGAGCAAACTTCGAGGAGCAAACATACTCTCAAGTTTCGCAAGCTACTGTGTCCAGATATCAGCGTCTCGCAGCTTTTCCGAAAGGCAACAGCCCACCTGCATTTGAGAATACTTTAGTGGTTGGTGCGCGGCTAGGACAAGTAATTGCAGGAACGTCTTGCGCCGTCTGCACGAAATGCTGCAACTGCCAGAGCGGATCTTCTGGACCTAATGGCCTTTTGCGCAGAAAGCTGCCAGCCACATGTCAGCCAGAAGTTGTAGATCATCACAATTTTTAATTGCTGATTACTTCTTTGAATTCTGAACTGTCAATTGGGCAGCACGGCTCGTGTGAGACATGATGGATGTCCCGAGTCTGTGACTTGGGGGCGTCGAAGAGAATAGGAGCTTCATGCGTGAGTCCTGCGTGTATGATATCAGTCATCCGAGCCTCCACCAGTGGCCTGGAATGCCACCACAGGCCACAGATGAAGAAGGCTCCGAAGAACTGCGGTTTTGGAAGAAGCTGGGATAAACATGCCGGGACGACCAAGAGATAGAATCCACCAATGAAGGGTGTCAAGAAGAGAAAAAAGCCAAGAACCACGAGCGGGCTTTTAAGCTTCTCCTGAGTGCACAAACCATAGACTCAGAGTAAATCACTCTACCGGCAGCGATTCCTCTGCCGGAAGATCATCAAAGTCGCTCCTGACGGCAAGGTTGATTTCGATCCTCGCCACCTACGAATGACCGAATGCATGCACGGGTACTTCCAGTAGTTCATCTTCTTCTCCTCCTCCGGAGTCCTCTTCGAGGTTGTGCAAGAAGCTGCTTGATACACGGCGTGCAAGTTTGAGCAATGAGCACAAACGTCAAACATGCCAGCTTCACCGGGGCATCTCATAAGTATCCTCTGGACTGAGGCTTGTTTCCATGTCCCGCGGCGGCGGCCTCTTTTCCTGTGACCACAGTTTCGAAGCGACTGGGCTCTTAATCTACGTCGCCAAGTATTGGTTCCGAGCAGAGGAACCTAACTGTAGAAGGATACATGCTGGCTGAGTAATAACCATGAACCACCCACAATCGCAAACAAGGCTCTGCGGCTCGTCGGGCCAGAGAGCTCGATGCACTCGAGGTTACTTCAGAGGACACGTTCACAAAAGGTGTCGACAAGAATCCTGCCGAGCAAACACATGCATGCAAACACACAGAGACGCGGACGACAAACATATCTACTTCGTTGGACGCTTCCAGCGGGGTTCCAATCTGTCGACTAGTCGTAGTGGCAACAAGGTGCAACATCAAGAGAAGACTCTGAAAGGTGCAACATCATGAGAAGACTCGGAAAGTTGAAGATCCAATACATGTACTCTCAGCATTTGCCACGTCTTGTTTGCAAATACAACTATGGCCGAACTACGCTTGCTTGCACGACGCCGGGGCAGTAGTGCACCCTTTTCTCTGCCTGCGAGGTACACGAGCAACAGAGTGACAGCCAAGCCCAGACCTGGCGCGGCAACGTCCAAGCTGAGCGCTTCGGTGGTTCCTAGCAGCCAAACCTGGTCGCCGTCTGTGCATCTCCTGAGGCCATCAAGCGTGAATGGAGTAGACAGTGAGATGCTTAAAGGGCGGATCTCTTTCAACACAAGACTCGAGAATTGCCCTAACGAAGCAGACCGTGCGAATGTTTGAGATCAACATGTCAAGCAGCGATGAACACTATCCTCCATTCCACCGCACACCTATCCTGTGCCTGCAGAGAGCCCTCATTAGTAGGGAAAGTCAACTTTGTGCTCAGCCTTGCCGGCGAAGCTCTAACCCAAGATGATGAGCTTCACACAAGGTAAATGCCTTTAACGAATTTCATGCTAACAAGGTGTCCCAGCAGTGTGCAACATTCACGAAAGCGAACTGGCCTTGCAATCTGCTTTGAGGGCAGGCACAGGAATCCAAATACTAAAGTGATGCTGATCCAAAAAGTGGCGCCGAGCAGTCTCGAAGTGAGGTGCGAGTCTCCGATGCGACACGATCACATGCCAAGCGCGGCTTTTGTGTGACTCCTTTACGCGACCAAGCGATGGAAAATTGCGGTCAAGCTCCATGCGACCGCCAGCATTACCTCTGGAAACTCCTGGCCTTCGCTGGCAGGATGGTTTCAGGAGGAAGGCACCTCACTGTGGGCTCACTCCGATCTGCAGGAAAGACCTTGGATCGGACAGGGGCCTGAAACGAAAATTGAAAATGCTACTGTTTTCTGATGTCTCCTAGGGCTTCTAGGTGCTCGTTGACTGCATCCTAGTGCCAAGGCTGCGAATGGCTGCGAAGAAACGCGAGCCAAGGCCTGAAAAAGAGGTCCCAAGGCCGGCACAGCACGTCAGCTGGTAAGAAGCCGAACCACCTCAAAGAATTGGACAAAAGCCGCGGAACACGACGTCGACGAACACTGAGCATGCGGCTCCGGCGGCAGCAACTTGATGCCGAAGTAGACCAAGCCAAGTTCTAGAACTGCAATTACAACCTCGCGGGTCTAGCCATCAAGTAAAGCACGCAGATGTGACAACATGAAGCAAGCTTGACAGCCTCTATCGCCGGCACCAGCCACAGCGGAAGCCCCAATGCCCCCAAAAGTTCACCGAAGTCCCCCTGGGCAGTTGCTCTCTGTCCCTTGTACATACTTCATGCACGAAGAGTACTGCCTCATGGCTTTACCAGAAGAGCCGGCCTTGTCGGCAGCAGCCTTCAGTGCTGAGACGCCTTCGTGTGCTGAAGCCCATGCCCAGAAACCGCGCCCCAAACCCTAAAACCAGAAATGGCAAAATGCGCGCTGTCGGATGTGAAACAAGGCGAATCGACGTAATAGTCATGAATCATGAAGGTTCCAGGAAGCACCATAATCGCAATAAGAGAAATCTTCGTCTAGATAATAGTGACATTCATGGTGCCAGAAATGGCGCTAGTTGCAATACGAGACCCTCAAAAGCCCTTGAAAATTACAAACCACACACTTTGAGAATCAAACAAACTAAAGTCCAAAAACGAAGCTCTTAAACCCAAAGCCTTGTAAAAATCATGAACCCTAACTTGCATCCGGAATGAAGAAGACCAAGGCTGGATCAGACTAGGCACTTATGAGACCCTAGACTCTGCCCTATTTCTGAACCCCGCAAGCACCAAGCTTCAAACCCACGTTTTAGCGTTTAAGTGTGGCAGGGCCGGAATGTTTTCTTCGTTGAATGGGTAGAGTATCAGAGCTATGCGTGCTGATGGGCTGCTGGGTCTCCGAATGGCTGCGTAACGGCTGTGCAAAGACAACGCTTGACTCTGCTCTGCACTGAATGGCATTTCCGAAGTGTCAAAAGGTTTCCAGCAAACATCACTAGTGATGTATCTTGCTTATCAAAAAACCAACTTCGACTGACATAGCAACAGAGTGCATCGCTTGTCATTGGGCCCCGAGCGCTCCGCTGACCTTTGCTGTCGCAGCTCTTCCGAAGGCTCCGCTGCATCCTGCTGTCGAGCAGGTTCGCTCAGCAGTGGCAGGACGGATGGCCTGGAGACCCGCCTCGCTTTGGGATGGGCGGGCCACGGCCATGCTGCGCCGCACGGCCTGCGAGAGCCCGAAGGCAGAAGACCCACGATACAGCCAGACGAGCCTGTGGTACTTGTTGAGCTGGTGGGTAACCAGCGAAGGAGATGCCCTCAGAAAAAGAAAAGCCGTAATAATGAACCACAGCGCGAAAACTGCAGCACCTCTCGGACCCACACGAAAAACTCAGGTAGAGTGCAGCCGAAGAGGGTGGCCAGGACAAGACATACCCTCTGGGCCCTGCGGGTGAAAGGCCACAGAGCAAGCCTTCCTGCGATGCTCCAGCCGCCTCGGGTGTCTCAAAACCTTCGCAGAGCGCAAACATCTTGTCCTCGAACCTCAGGCAACACACTGACCGACAGCACAGCTTCTTCCCCGCTCAAGTCAAGCTTCAGCCTGTGTGTGATGTGAAAGCCATTCGGAGAGAACTATGCTAAGTTCAAGATGGCATGCGAGTGCACTGCAAGGCATTCGTGGAAACCCATCTGCTCATGTGGGCTGGTCTGAACTGCAGCTACAGTCCCTCTTGAGCAAGTCCATACATGGCTGCGACAAGCTCTGAAGCTCGACCAGAAACAGTCCTGATACAGATCTCTGCCACACGGCAATCTGTTAGAAAAACTGACTGCCTCTTTCGGCGCACGCAATCAGCAACGGTACACACCACGGAAACGGCAGACATTGAAAAGCAGAAAACCGGCAGCACATAGCTCTCAGAGGTCCCAAGCCGCCTGGCGATGCTTGTCCCCAGTACGACAGGCTGCAACTTCCGGCCCCAGCCTATCGCTTCTTCTTGCCCTTGCCCTTGTTCTTGAACTTCGCGTAAGGATCCTTTGGCACCCTCACCTGTCCACGTCCAGATGCTTTCAAGCAGCTCCTGCGACATTAAAGCGTATCTGAGGTCCCACCCGCTTCGGCTTTGGATCGCCGAAAGGAAAACCGAAGTCTTTCATGAGCTTCAAAGCATCCGGCCTCGGATGCCAGACAAGGCAACACATACTGTTGAACTGGAAATGTGCATGGGCTCGTGCTGTGTGAAACAGTTGTTGAGGATGCGGATGTTGAAGCCGTGGACAACTTCCTGCGACCGTTCACAGCGCCAGTCCATTTTGCGAAGCTTGAACGCAGAAATAGATCAAGTTCAGGTGCGAGAAATTCGCAGACATTTAGTCGCATTGTCTTGTGTGGATGCTCGCGACATTGTCCATCTGTGGTTCGTGCCAGCATCGGAGCCATTACTCACATCAAAATATCATCATGCCGCGGTCCCGCGAGTCGAGCAGCTCATCGAGCTCGTTGAAGGGCTCCTGTCAGAAAGCACCGCTCTGCGTGAAACACTCCATCCTCACCCATGTCCTGGCTGGGCAAGTGCATCCAGTAGTTCGCTTTCCTGTTGAAGGAGGTTGGATCCAAACCTGCAGAGAGTGCGGAGCTGCCGCAACCATGGTTGCCCTCGCCATATGGGATGGCCTTCGAAGTCTCGCACTCGGGGGAGAACAATGGTGTTCAGCCTCTGGAGAAAGTCTTGCCTTGGAGCTGCGGCTATCTGCATTCTCTGCCCGGCATGCCCTACGTCAGACGTAGGTAGCCGACATCAAATGGCCTCTTATGTTGACTTTGGCTCCAGATTTATCTCCCTGGCAGCACCATGACCAAGCAACTTCTGGAACGTCAAGGGACATCCGGTAAAAAGATATGAAGACAGCCATCAAATGGCCAGATGAACCACGCGGTATCCTAGCTCGGCATTGTTGGCCGTAAAGTAGGTTGCCTTAAGCGATGCCAGGATTGATATGCAGACTTGCGAGAACCGGAGGTTTTCCAAGCCATAGACAACTGGGTGAACACCGCTGACGCGACGGAGCTCTTCTATGACCTGTCACACATCACATTGACCGAACATGTGCTTCGGATTTCGAATCTACACGGATGCTGGCCTGATTCATGATCTTGGTATTTGATGCCTGCTTTGGTGCCAGTGGCACAGCAATGTTGACCTGACAATCCACCAGAATCTAGTGCGCCAGAGCCGATTCTGCCCTCTTCCTGCCTTAATGAATTGGTCCGGATCCGCTGGCTTGGGGCCTCTGTACACGAACTTACCCTTCAAGGTTTTCAGCCACCTGTCAGAAGCAGTGCATTTACACTGATCCTTTGCTAGGTATACCGGCCGTGCGTCGCGTGATGCCTGGTTGTCCTTTCCTTCTTGTCAAACTGCTGGTCCACAGTCAGCTCACCTTTTCCTGTCCTGGAGATGCCATTTTCGCGGAGGGGTCAGTGTTGAAAATGGCAACAAGGAACTGCCGTTGTAAGTGCCAAGCTTGACCTTGATTGTGCTTGCAGGCATGGCTTCTTGTGTCACATCCACGGGCCTGACTCAGCCACATCTGCAAGGGAAGGAAGACGTGTGCAGGACTCACAAGACAAACGGTCAAAAAGCCGCAGGCCGTCCACCCGGTTTCGCAGCACACATGATCACGGCCTCACCCCTGGCCTGAACGGTGGTTGCTAGCGCAGTTTGAGAGTTGGCAAGCCCAGGTGCACCCCAGAAACAAGCTCTGTGCTAAACGGCGT